GTTTTTTTTTTTTTTTTTTCCTTGTTTATTGTCCTTTGGGGCGGAGCCCTATGGTGGACACTACGTACAGTATTATACTATGCTGCGTCTATTCTATGTTTGTGTGGTCTATGCTGTGCAATGGGTCCGTGCATGAGCGAGGACGGTGACGCCGTCTTAAGGCGTTGTGTTAGTGTAGTACAAATTGGTTGGTTGGTTTTCTTCTCGTTTGATGGCTTTCTCTTCCTCTTTTCCTCATTCTTTTTCCTTAGGGGGGGTGACGTCTCCGAAGGTTTTGTTCTAATCTTCTGGTGTGCGCGATGAAACTTGAGTGTCGCTCTAATTCTTTTTCCCTCGCTTAGCAAGTATTTGACGTTGAGCTGTCGCGGTCCTACTTCCATGCTGAGCTCGTTGCGTTGTCTGGCGTATTTCGGGCAGACTAGTAGGAAGTGATGGACGGTTTCTTCGTGTGTGTTGCATTCCTGACATGCTGCTGATTGCACTCTGGCTATGCGGTGAAGGTGTTTGTTGAGAGCGATGTGGCCGGTGCGTAGATGGAATATTAGCGTTCCGTGTTTCCTTGGTAGGTCTTCGATCTTGCTTGCGAACTTCTTGGATGGGGCGGTGTGGTCGATGGATTGCAGGTGAGCGAAGCGGGGTGGTTCTTGCATGATGTTGACTGCTTCGGCCTTGATCTTGCCGTAGAAGTGCTGTTTCAGCGCCGATTTGCTTTGCGGAAGGGTTCTGATTGCGCCGTTTCTTGCTAGGAGAGATTTGGGGAATTTCTTCGTGGCTGAGGAGTCTCCTGCCGCGGCTCTCTTTGCTTCCTCGTCCGCTGCCTCGTTTCCTGCTATGCCATGATGGCCTGGCGACCATCTGATCACGAGTTTTCTGCCGTCCTTGTGTGGTAGCAGTTTGCGCAGGTCGTCGTGGAATGTGGTCTACTAGATGGTGACCCGGTCTGGATTGGAACGCCGTTGTAGCAAGGATTGCTGCTTGGTTGTCGACTCCTACCGCCATTGTTCCCCCCCTGCTTCCTCCTGCCTCGTATTCGGAGGTCATAAGCGCCTCACAGGCTTCCTGGACTTCTACCCTCAAAGGCAATATACGATGGATGGCTCCCGAGCTATTTGTACCAGAGAAGGAGGATGGCTCTTCAGCACGACCGAGCGAGCAGAGCGATATCTTTGGTATCATGTTGCAAGTATGTCTGGGTAATTCCTACCTCTGGTCGATACCAATATTGTACATTCTATTCCATCACATTGTACACTGATATAACTCAGCTTCCCTGAACTTCATGAAAGCGCCTTTCCATAGATAGCTCATCATGATGGAGCCAGAAAAGGACGTGTATCGCAGCTGCAAATTATGACTTTGAACTTCTAGTTCCTTGTCAACTACACAACGAACTCGATATATCGGCGGCAACGAGATGACCACAAAAAAGCAAGCAGATTTAATAGACACGAGGCAGCGGGTAAAAATAAACGCTATGCAATGCACAGGCACTATGCTGAAGGGGGCAGGGACATGTTAGGAAGTACAAGAAAAGGTTGCCAGACGCACGCACATTCAATCAACTGAATCGCTCACTCTTCCCCCGATTTACTAGCCTCTAGGTAACATCAGTAACCCGAACTTTCAGGGCTGACGAACTAATGATCGGCATCGGCAGGTAAAGTGTACCAGCTGCCAGTAGTTAGACATCCTTCGAAATAACTTTCAGCGTCAAGCCACAGCATACGAGAAGATCTCACTGACGGTCCCTCGAATACTCTCAAATAGAACATCGTCCGCATCTGCTAAACCTCGCTGGTGGAGAAACGGGACATGATCTCCATATCGCAACAGCCTACTGCAGCAGCAAAGACATCGACTCTGACACCCGTGCTGACCTTGAAGGGCCACAAAGGCACAGATCCATATCCTACTTTCCGGACGGGAAGGAAATAATTAGCGGGTCAAGCGATAGGACAACTCGTCAATGGGACCTAAAAGCGGGTAAGGAAATTGAGAGGCACAGGATGTTTGTGAGCAGGAAGTACTTGCGTGGGGGTATAAAGGGATGCTCGATGGGTTGTCACTGCTGGTGGAAATATCAACACCGGGGAGCTCACACCTCAGGCAGCAGTTTTCGGAGGTAAAAGGTAGGCTTTCAGCCGGGTTTCTACTATGATTCTCCAATCTAATTTAGGATCCGTTCTAAAAATAATATCTCGTTGCCTGCCAGTGCCATGCCAGTGCCAGGCTGCTCGCGTGCTCCACCTCCATGATGGCTCTAGGATACCTCGCGTTGCCTTTGAGCGCTTGAGGAGGACCTCCTACCTCAACGTGTGAAATTTAAAACTGCTGCCTGAGGTGGGATAACGGGCCGGAACAACTTGAATGCCCTGCAGGCTGCCACAGTGCCAGGCTCCACAGCATAAGGGCATTGGCTTTACTTCCCACCGGCTCCATCGGGTGGCACATGCCTTCATGTGTGGCTCGAAGGGGGCAGTGGCTCTCAAAGAACCAGTCTGGGATTTCAAAATGTGATGGCCATCGTTGGCGTGCAAGCTAGATCACTCAGTACAAACCAAAGATTGTCAACAACCAGTATCTTTGCTCAGAGTACCGTATTTAGCTGCGGCCCCCACCTTCACCAGTGACTTCGTCACGGTTGTACATAGTAGTACCACGGGGCGTTTTGCGGCGAAGTTCAAGCATTCTCAGAGCATCTATTATATCCCTCAACCCATGCACCCGGGTCGTTCCGAGTCTTACTGCAGTGTTTGAAGGTTCTTCACCTTCCTGGCCAGTTCCTTGCTTCCTGGACAGGATGGCAGCATGAGGCTCCAGGGACTGATCAAGCCTCACCAGTGATACCGTGGATCTCATCATTGAATGCAGGCGTCGTGCAGTAATTTCTGGCACAGCAAGTGCCTGCCCGAGTCATTGCCCAAGTATAATGTGATCAGTACTTCTTCAGTCTATGCGGTATAGGGTACGGTTGAAAATTCACCACGACTTTTCAACAGCTGTTTATAAACAGACGCCCTCAGGCCAGTAATGTATTGATAGGTGTTTTAAACACTTTTCAACTTATAGTTGGTATTAACTAGATTTATCAACAGGTATTTTTAACAGCGGTTGAAAAATAGTGACTTTTCAACCGTACCCTAATGCATCGGTAAGCACGCACTTGTGCCAACCTACAGATCAAGACTGAAGAAGTACTGATCACATTACTTGGGCAATGACTCGGGCAGGCACTTGCTGTGCCAGAAATTACTGCACGACGCCTGCATTCAATGATGAGATCCACGGTATCACTGGTGAGGCTTGATCAGTCCCTGGAGCCTCATGCTGCCATCCTGTCCAGGAAGCAAGGAACTGGCCAGGAAGGTGAAGAACCTTCAAAAATTCAATGGCCTGAGGGCGTCTGTTTATAAACAGCTGTTGAAAAGTCGTGGTGAATTTTCAACCGTACCCTATACCGCATGGGATTATCCTGGAGGTCGCATGCAGTGCCCTGCCCTCTAATTTGATCTCACCGCTTTCGCATTGATTTAATTGGTCCCAACTGCGATCTGTATTAAAGCGAGCAGAAGGTTTGGAAGACTGAAGGATCTTTGTCACATTGTCAAAATTTTATGTCGCAGGCAGGCATTACACAAATCCAAGTCTCTACCCCGTTTCTCCAGACGAGATGAAGCTGATACACTCAAGTCGTCAACATATCAGGTGAGATTCCACCAACGCCCGCAAGATGTGATATCTGAGGTTTTCATTGGTATAGCTCCCATCTCCATCATGCAGAGACGGATTCAAGCTCCAACTTCTGCATTCAGACGGCATTTAACACAAACGCCCCTCAACAAGTCGATATCATTACGTACGATTTACCTATCATTCGGAAATGACAGACTTATATGCAATGACAGGACCAGGCAGTTAGCACCAGAGATGTATAGCGTGCAAGTTTTCGGCATGTTTTGATAACCTCCTGTCATGACTACTCAGTACTCAGTTCTGATAAATCCCAGATATCGATCTTCATCACCTGCCCAAGATTGGGCGGTTGAATGTGGATCATCAATTCTATGTCAAAATATCCATTCATGATGTCGATGGGGGCACAACCAGTTGTACGAGTCCGGAGAAGCCCAGCTCTATGCCGTGGAGTAGTAAACATATCTTGTACGTCGGAGACTACTGCCTGATTCAAGGGCTGATTCAAAGAGCAGCAATGTTCGCAACTCTACCACGCTCACATTGGAAGTATTTGCTCATCGCCAATTTCATGATGATCAGTACATCGGTATGGTCCAGGGCTGTGTCGAAGAATTTTTGAAGTACCCTGGTGGTGAGTAACTACATCCTTGCGCAATGTATTTTTCTAACAGTTCAATTCAGCCATTCTTGAACGGCTGAAGTGCGTAAACCCTCAAGGCAAGGAAGAACTGCTCAGGGCAAGCTTGGAGTTCAAGCTTACCACCATTGTGGGCGCTGGGAGACCTGCTGATGGGTCCCAGCATACCGAACTTTGTCACAGAGAAGGTATCCGGAAGGAGCCCATAACGAGTCATGGCTATGGAGATGCTCTCAGAACACCATTTCCCCCGGCAGTGCAAATCTTCGGTACGTGAGATCAATTTGAATGACGGTTACTCTTGATAATTTGCGACGTCAATAAGACATAGACCTGCACCATTTGCCGCGAATCGGTTTGTTTTCGACTTACGACAGTTTCTATGTGACAGCTTCTGTAGATGACCATGACCAAAAGTCCACCACAGCTGAGAATCCGCATTCCTTGCCATGGATGACCGAGCTAAAACTGTGAGAGGCATTGTACCCGCGAGTTCATGACATTGACTCCTAGCAAGAAATGTACAGGCGTCGTCCATAATTTCCCTAAAAGTCTTCGCAAAACGAACCCTCCATAAAGATCAGTACATCGGTATGGTACAAGAAGGTGTCGAGACGCTTCTCGCTTATTCCAGAAGTGAGTTTCTGGTTACTATCTGATTGGCTCGCTCGTCGTTGAATACAACATTAGTTAAAATCTACCGCCTCATGTCTTTTGACCGTCATGGCAACAAACATCTCCTTTGTGCTAGCATGGAATTCAAGATCATGCCTCTTCATAATACAATCGAGCATGAAACCACTCAGCACGCTGAAGACCAGCTCGCCCGGACACTTGATGTCTCTGAGGATACATCATATACACCGGCCATGGGAGACTGTGGACCAAATGAACCATTGACAGCGTCTACTGAGCAAGTTGTCGATGTTGTTACCCCAGGACCCCTTCCTCTGCTCTTGGACAAGATCAGAATTTTCGTTCAGCTTTCTGGCAAGTTCGCTGAGGTACGGTCCCTTGGCTTTGCCACTGAATATGTCTGATACTACTCCCCTAGGCCCATCCTTACACCAAAATGGCGTTCATGATTCTCACTGCAGTACTATATAATGTAAGTGGCATGGTCACATGTTCAGACCTAAGGAGCTCATCTGTTTTGATTAGTTGGAGAGTGCACGTGACCGAAGTATCAATCAGCTCATTACCGTTATGCACGAAACCTACAGCCTTATCTCTGGCGAAGAGGAACTGAAAAGGGTAGAATCGCAAGAAAAGACTATCAACTCCCTCGCTCGCCAGACGGTCGAGTGCTCGTACTTTATCCGTGACTACCTGGAGAACAGGAGCGGATGTGAGTCTCGCAGCTTCTTACCAAATCTTCGCTTCTTTAACAAAATTCTTGAATGAAGGGAAACAAAGCTTTTCGAACGCGTTGTCCAAATTAGATGATAAAATTTTAACGTACGAAGCAACCTTCAAAGAACTCAAGAATGCTATACAACAGCAGGTCACGATTACCACGGAACTCTACGTCTTTCGTGTCCATGATCTGTTGCTTGACCATGGTAGTGTTCCATCTTCCATACCTCTTCCTTGCATATGTTCATATTACTACTAGCCACGAAAACAGACCTTGATGGCATGCACTATGCTTGTGGCGCTTCGATTGAATCACAGAAGATCGGAGATGCGCCACCACGAACTGATATCATGGAGTCGATAACTTCATGGGTCAATCAAAACGATGAACAGCAGATTTACCTCTTACTAGGTCCAAAGGGGTCCGGAAAATCTACTATCGCCCATACCATTGCACGCCAATTCGACGCCATTGTGCGTCTCGGTTCGTCGTACTGTTTTTCGCGCGCTGCCCGGGACAAGCGAAATGCTACGAATTTGTTCAGCACGATTGCACGGGACCTCGCTGATCACGACTCTCAATATAGGAAGGCTCTCTGGGCCACCGTGAAATACAAGCGCGCATTATGTGAAACGATAAACCCACTTACTCAATTCAATCGCTTTATCCTTACCCCTGCGAATCAAATGGCATGCATCGGCCCTGTGCTAGTGGTCATCGACGGGTTGGAACACAGCGGTAATGAGTCAGCTCGTAAAGACCTCCTGACTGCACTCGCAGAGAACGGAGCAGAGCTTCCCCGTAATTTCAAGTTACTAGTCACCTGCCGGCCAGAGGAGGACATTTGCGCTGCTTTTGAAGGAAAATCTCATGTTATACAGAAGCATTTGAAACATCACGCCGACTCACTCTTTGTTCCGCCACCAACATCGGGGCAAAACCAGACAAGCAGACCCAGGTTTCGCCCACAGATACGACGTAAGCCCCAAACAACTCAAGCGCCGACTTGAAGATGATTTACAATTTTTGCAGAGCTACGCCAGAAATACGTCAGTATATCTGAATTAGAAGATGCTATTCGACGAGTCATCCACATCCAGCTGGAAAACGCCCCCCTTCGTCTGATCAACACCTCTACAGGACTTTTGTGTGATCGAGACTCACAGATCAACGCATTCACGGAGAGTACAGAGTACAAAGAACTTTCCCGTTCACTCGACATGTATGGGCCCCTCCAAACTGGGCCTATCAGAGATGCGGTCGCGAAGTACTTCAGTTGGGTCATGTTGTCCCATAGGTGGGAAAGGAAGGAGCTGCTACTGCACGACATTCAGGCTAGGAACATATACACCTTGGACCCGGTCGGAACTGTTGTAAAGTTGCAGAACTTCTGCAAAGTTGCTCGCAACGCGGGGTATCACTGGGCGTGGAGCGATACATGTTGCATTGACCAGAACAACAATGTTGAGCTCCAGCGATCAGTCAACTCGATGTTCGTCTGGTATCACCACTCAGCGCTCACCATCGTCTACCTCTCGGATGTTCCTCCTTCGTCAGAGTCTGGCGCGCTAGCAAACAGCATTTGGAACACGCGAGGATGGACCGTTCAGGAGTTCCTAGCTCCCAAAATTGTTCTCTTCTACCAAGCAGATTGGTCTCTGTACCTCGACGACCGCTCACGCAACCACAAGGAGTCTGTTCCTATCACGCAGGAGTTGGAGCGTTCAACTAGCATAAATGCGCGGGCGCTCGTTGCCTTCTGCCCGGGGATGAGAGATGCCCGAGAGAAACTTCAATGGTCATCAACGCGCGTCACTACGTTGCAGGAAGACATCGCGTATTCGCTGTTTGGGATCTTCGGCGTCCACCTTCCTGTAATCTACGGAGAAAAAAGACAGAACGCGCTCGGACGACTCTTACAGGAGATCATAGCTCATTCGGGCGACATCACAGTTCTGGACTGGGTGGGACAATCATCCACTTTCAACAGCTGTCTGCCAGCCGATATTTCCTCATACGAGGCTCCGCCATGTACACTGCCATCTCTATCTGAACATGAGATGCAGATATCGGTCTCCTCGCTGCGAAACAATATTGTGACTGTGGAATCGGCTTCGAATCTTTATACCACTCTTGAGAACCTCGGCGTTCCTCGTTTCGCAAACGCCAGACTACAACTGCCTTGCATCGCATTTCATCTCACCGAAATCAGGCGGAGTACTGGTGGAGACGGGGACAAATGTTCCACATATGAAGTCAAGGCGGACGGGTTACAAGACCTGCTGGTCACAACGGGAGACAAGCTTGTTCCGTTCTCGCCTGCAAGGCGTACTCGGCAGGCATTCTTGCTCATCCGTCCATGGAATCGGTATGATCTCGAGTTGGCCGACTTTGCAGATGAGTCACAGAGCGTGGGCGATTGGCCTGATGAGCCTGGAGATGATGAGCTGGTTACCAGAGGGTTGAGGTTATTCGTTCGCCTTGCTCGTCCTTTTGGCGCACTTTTGCTAGCGCAACAGCGTGGTGGGGAGTATAAGAGAATTGCTTCGGATAATGATATCATCGCGCAAGTTAGGGACACAGCATCTGTTGATAACATGATGGACATCAGGACGCTGGAGATATTGTAACTGCGAAGAACGGGTCATTTTCATTTCATACTTTTACAACACCTCCACATGAACAGTATCCCTAGAATTTTGTATGGTATTGGTCTCGATAACGTATTATATATTGTCTCGTAGCTAATCCCCAAATCAGACGTCCTAGAGCGACGAGTGGACTCATGGAACACGAACATGGCGTCGACGCAAATTGCTTTCGCGGGATCAAACGCTCTGTGCTTGTAATATGTAAATATAGATGTGATATGTAAAGCCAGTGTCTCGTGCATAGTGAGACCTTGAAATCGGAAGTTGGAGGAGAACGGGTGATACTCTTCTTTTTCAAGATTAACTAGTGACAAACTATGATAAATCACGATAGCAGCCAAGTTACCGCTTTTACTTGTCCTCTTCGAGTCGGTCATGGGATCAGTTGACTCTAGCTGGGTCGCTCGGGTTCCGAGATTGTGAACAGAGTCCCGACCAGCTGTCAGGAAATCTCTTCCTCCGTGTCAGGTCTCAACAGACTCATCAGCAAACGACAAGCCGCATTAACCTATGATGATCAATAGCTACATGCCGAGCGTGAGCATGTACGTCATTACAGACGCACACGAAGTTCGGCTTTACGGTCATGACTTCCTTTTGATCCTGCCAGCTGGTATGTAATGAGATTGCAGCAGTACCCGAACATGACAGAATTCTGAAGGCATTCTAGTTGGAGATAACATCGGCTGCGTCAATCGGAAATCAAAAGCAGGATCACGTAGTTCCGTGCTCATCGTAGCTCCAAGCTGTACACAATGTCTTAGGTACGTGTAGCGGCAATCGGTGCAAATGAGACCATTAATATTATGCAAACCCAGCGCTCAGCCCCGAGCATGCGGTACGTGCTAACGTATAGTATGTAATAATGTAGACAAAGGTCGCGTCTTACGATCCATTGTGACAGACTCATCGGATTATCGAATCGTGCCAAGTCCTGACCCAATCCGTCACTTGCCCCGCAAGTAACGCGCCCTCTTTGTCTCGCTTATTCATATCAACACCTAACCTAGCTTTCCTACGCATTTCCGCTTTCGCATTGCGGCCCAGCGACCATGCTTCCTCCACAGCAGAAGCCCAGTCGCCAGCTTCATATGACACTCGAGGGAGTTCGATTCCAACTCCTTCCCGTGCGAGCAGCAGCTTCAAGCCATGCTCTTCCACAAAAAGTGGACGTGCGACATAAACGAAAGGCGTGCAAGCATCGACGCATTCCGAAACTGTCCCATATCCCTTTGGAAATGCCATCAGTCAGGAAAAATCATCAAGATAATTTGGCAACGCACTAGTTTGCCGAGCAGAACGTCTGCGACAGCTGTCAGATCGGGCATGTAGACGTATTTCGGGGCCATAAAAAACCTGTCCGGAGGCTTTTCGTCTGACCCATCCTGCCCCCATTTTGATACTCCACACACAATTGCGATCCAAGACGAGTCTGGTAGCAGCCGTGTATCAAAGTCATCTACAACGTGATCGAGCATTATGTCCGAAGCGGAAGGAACAAGAGTATCCAAATATGAACGGGTGATGTTATTTTTGATACAAAACTCTGTTTTGGTCAACATCGCGCATGACATATGGCTAGGCTCAGGCTTGATGACCGGAGGGGCGCCGTATGGCGTGTCCATTTTGCTGAGAGCGTCACTGCAAGGACGGATCTTTGATGTTCGCGGGCTATCAGGGATCTGCCGTAGCTCCGCAGGAGGATCAATTTGAGGTGTTTTGCATCGTGGACTTGAGTGACCTGTGCTGCTCCCGCGACTAGAAGTTGGCTTCTGGAAGACCTGTCCGCCAAATGAAACTATTAGAATCTTCGTCTCATCTGGATTATGTAGGTGCTCAGGGACACCAAGCGACGAAAGAAATCGGGATCGACCAATGGGGGAGTAAACTGTGTTTGGCCCCTTGCTAATACCACGAACGAGAAGGGGAGCTTGGATGATGCTACGAGCAAACGGTTTCTTAGGGTGTGAGTCGGCGAAAGGTATCGAAGAATGGAGTACGTGTGTAGAGGGTTTCTGAACAAGATGAGCTACAACATCATCTAGGAGTGTGTTGCTGCCCTGGTTAGTCCAGCGCGGCGCGGGTAACGACGGGGAAGTTGAGAACGATGGAATAGGTATACATCCAGGAAGTCGAACAAGAAGGTCCGCGCAGCGGTAACCATAATATATTTGTTGAACCAAGGGTTTTAGCTCTTCGTCTGAGATTGGATAATCCGGAGTGTGGTGACCAATCGAAAGTTCGTCTCCTAGAGGTGAATCGACTTGGTCTACAAATTTTGTTGAAAGGAAGCTGTATACAGAGTCGAATGTGAAATTTGATATGAGGATGGAAGGCAACCCCGTGGCATTTGCGGCAAGACTGGATAATTGATAAGCACAAGAGTCTATCACGATGGATTCTGAGCTCACCATCCAAGGAAGGCAGCATCGCTAAGAACACAGTCGGCCTCTACGTCGAAGAGCCACTGTCGTTCTTGCTCCAGAAGAGATTCCTTGCGTGCTAAAAAGGACCTGAGGGCTTCAACACTCCTGTGACGATCGACTCGATATCTGGTGGTCTGGCAATTAATGGAATGAGTCAACCATAGAGTTGGTATCACTCACGCCACGGGTTGTACAATGACTGGGTCAATCTCGGCAAAACGATAGAGGACCCCGAGACTAATGCTGTCGTTGAAAACATGCTTTGGAGCAGACGAGACAATATGTATTGTCATCCGAGAGTCGAGGTTAAGGAGGTGGCGAGCGAACGCGGAGACCCGTGTCGCATGGCCATAGCCTATAGGAAGAGGTGAGGGATCTTCATTGCTAGACAACATTGAATACGTACCATGCCCAGAGCAATAGTACGCGAAAACGAGTGGTTCCTTCATGGCGTAAGACGGTGAGTACTGGGGGAAGAACTCCACCACGCCGAGTCTTTATAGACATTATATTCGCTAGCCATCCTAATGGATAAATGCAGGACGGCAGGTTTGGTTGCGCTAAGACTGCTAGTGCTAGCTTATCAACGTCTTGGCATATTATAGGTGTGTGCAGTGTGCACAATGACGTTCAGAGTCGCTTGGAAATCCTAAGTTGTATCGCTGCTGGGCGGCAAAATCGAGCACATACCAGGCTAGACCCTGACCGGAATCACTTTTACGTTGACGGTTAAAGGTGCGAGTCCTCTGATTGGTGGGAAGGACTCGGTTGTGATAGGAAACTCCATATGTTCGTGCACTACTTCTTCCAAAATTTTCGCGAGCAAGCCCGTCTTGAGTCATTTTCAAGCTTCAGATGCGGCCGTGTGTAGAGCGTACGTGAGCGGCCCGGAAATTGCAGTACGTGGATTGTATGCCGTGACGCCGTCCTTGAGGCTTTGTCCGATTGTTGTCTCCAAGCCCTCGTGTCCTGTTGACGACAAGTTAGTGCGACACCTATTATCCAACAACAGATCAGACAACGGCATCAAGTCATCGTCTAATTACCATACGCGAAAGTGGTCCTCGATTTCGCGCCGAATGGCTGACAAGTTCATCTTGACTAGGGAATCTGATGATAAATTCGACTTAGACACTATGATCGATCATCGTAAGATGCTAGCGAGTACCACATCCTGCCGGAACATACATTCTGACAAGAGGTTGAACTCGCAGACATCTTACTAAATGTATCCGCTCAAGGCAGCGAATTAACCTGATCGTTGCACATTTCGTTGCTTGTGCCAGACGATTGAGGGAGGAACGTTTGGAAGTTCAAAGTAGCGAAAAAGATGGATCATCGATCAAACGATTAACAACAGCTTATTAGTAAGCTCGTTGCTTATCTCAGTGTAATTAGTAATCTGTACTGCCTTGTGAAGTCGAGAAAGGTCGAGAAGCCGACCTGAGCAGAAAAACGTGCCCATCGCATGACAAGGGCATCGACTCATACTCGCTTGTTTCTCCCATATCCAGATGCCAAGTACGAACTGACTTGTCAGTGTGTAGAATCATAATCAAATTCAAATTCAACTTGAACTTATCGCGCATGATATGTACAAAAATTATGTTATCCTCCGTTTGGATATAATTGTACAGCTGACCGAGTTCGCTTCATGCGCGGCCGATTACGTCTGCAAGTATGTGTGCAGTCATTTCCGGGTATCGGGGGACGACACGGCAAGGAAGAGATTCGGGGTGTCTAAAGTTTATCTCATTGGTTAGCTCACGGTACTTCCTTGGATGATGGCAGAGAACAAGATACTCACGAACTTAGTCCAGTGGACCATTGGAAGACAGGGTCTACTTCGTTGCCTTCGTTATCCAATGGTCTCATAAAACGGAAAGTTGCTAGCAGAGACACCATAGAAATCCACAGGGAACCATTAGCGAAGTGCCTTCCGACACATACTCGGCGCCCGAAACCGAAAATAAAGTCGACATTGTCGTCGTCCAATTGTCCATTAGCCATGAAAAACCTCTCTGGTGTGAAGTTCTCAGGGTTCGGGTATTTTACTTCGTCTTTTGCCATGGCCCTGTAGCAGTCGCATTAACGCAACTCAAGACTAGCAAGTACCATGACGCACCCGATATTTGCCATAACAAGCGCGCCTACGTGATGATTAGCAGCGAAAGTGATGCGATATAGAAAATACCAGACCTTTGGGGATGTAATGACCATTGTACACGTCGCTCTCCGCAGTGTAATGCGGCAAACCTGATTTGTCACATGGAAATGTAAGATCCTGACACACGATGGATGAGATCAACCCACCAAGAGGGAACACCGGATGCCATCTAAGCGTCTCGCGCAAGACTGCTTCCACATACGGCAACGAAGGCCGGTCTTCAAAGGTAGGAAGTTGGTCGGTGCCTATAACTGTCTCAATCTCCTCTTGTGCACGTTTCTGTACATCTGGATAGAGCATCATTGCAAGAATAAAGACACCTAGGGTCGACGCAGTCTGAATATCCGTCAGTTCGTGGGAAACACGTTAATGTAGATAAGCGGGACTGACCGTTTCAACTCCAGCTAGATACGAGCATGTGTTAGTAGTGTCACTCGAAAATAAATCGGGTCATACCAATGAATGCTGTAGCAGAAGTCGACTTCAACGCAAGCTCGAATTCGCCCACATTACTACCGGCTGTGTCCAACCGCTTAAAAGACTCCGAGATCATACACTGATTCGAAGTTGCAGTCATCTACGCTTCGTGTTGATACGATTCATTCTTATTCGGGGCATAAATGCTTACTGCGCGTTCTCGTGCATAGTTGAACGGGATGTTAACCATGGCGGCAGCATTCTTTTGTGATTGGATAGCGAGTCTTTTAAACCTCGCTCCAGGAAACCAAGAAGGCAATTTCAGCACTATGTCAAGTCAGAGACAACTTTCTGGAGACGTAGACTGGTAAAAAAACTTACGAAACGGAAATGCCTCCAGGATGACTGCAGTCTTGGGGCTTGACACCTCCAAAAAGACCTTGATCGCCTTTTCAGCAGCGAGTAAAAGCGGGTCATTGGTCGGCTTGGCCTCGTAATCGTATACAGCAGACATGATGATGGAAGAGGCGAAGCTGGGGATACCACGTTTTCATCATCGAGCTTGCCGAAGGACAAATTATCACTTACAGTTCGATGTGATCCTGGTAGCGCTCGGGGGCTTCTATGATGCCCTGCAACATCTGACGAGCTTTGCGAAGTTGGATAGGTAAGTAATCTTTTACCGCCTCAGATCGGAATGATTGATGGAAAATTCGCCGATGCAATCTCCATTCATTAGAGTACCTTAACTGGGCACTGTTAAACTCAGATCCGACTCTATGAGATTGTCAGATGTATATATAGTATGTTGGATGTTGGTTCTCTTACGCCTTTGTGCTAGAGATTGGTGGCCTGTCAGAGTAAATACCAGAGCGACGCTCCAACAGGGCTTTGGCGTCTTCGTACGACTGTAGAACAATAATTTGCTGTCCGAACAGCTTACAGTACATGACGTTCCCTTAAAAAAGTAAGAAGGTTTGTTTCTCGGAAAATCGATGGACTCTACCGTGTGTCGATGCCCACTGACTGAAGCTAACCCATAGCTGACTGTCCTTGAGGTCGAGCAGGTTACCTAGCATCGGCAAGCCCTTGGGGCCAGGGGGAAAGGAGATATCGGATGAACTTTTTCGTCGAACTCGGTGAACGACTAGAAAGAGGCATATGATGGCAGAAGAAAAGATCATTGGAGAGGGGAACATCTTAAGTGATGATAAAGATCCACGTCTCAAAAGCAGCTTTAATATCTTCGAAGCATCCTATCTGAACCTAGAAAGAAATTTACTGCCACAATCATGTTAATACCATGCCCTCCTGGGACAAGCAATCAAGTTCCCAAATCCTATCATGACGGGTTTCACTCGCAAGAATGAATGGAGGAAAGGTTAGGTCAAGTCTCACAAGGAGCTTTCCCGATCTGTGTATTTCATGTGGGCACAACATGCAATGGACATACTTGGATTAAAAGAGATACGTCAGCGACAATGACACCCATCTCCCACGAGACATCCCTGCGAGTCCCTGCAGTGGTCTGCTGTCAGCCTGAGCCTTGGCTTGACACTTCATCAAAGGGACGACTACTACTTACGATGTCCAACTTGAACACAAATAGCAGATGAAACCCGAAATTATGGCAAAATAGATGTGTGTGGCGAAAGGGCGGTGCAGACTCGGAAACTTGAACAAGTCCGTCATACCATCGGTTACTCTGGCCGAAGGAGTGGTAACTGATAGTATGATTGCCATAGGAAGACGATACATTCGGCCACGCCAAGTGATAATATGAGGTCGAATGGAAATGAACTGATATGAATCGAGTAATGAAACCTGCAGGATTCATTTCAAATCTTAGTTAGCCGCCGCAACTGAACTCTACCCAAGTACCCATTAGGTAGCGCTGGATTCAGAGCCTCGTGTTATCGCAAAGTTGTCGAAAGGTAAACAGAAAGAAATGGGAACCTTGGTAAGTGTCGGCCGAGCTGGAAATAGCTCAGCGAGCCGCCACTAGCTAGTCTGCCTCACTTGGCAGACACTGAGACAGCCACTAGCACTGTCAGTGCTACTAGCAGTAACATTGACGAGGATTCTCACGCATCACGTGGGTGTAATGGACACTTGTCCTCATGCGAGTCGTGCCACTGATGCATTGTGGATCATCGATTCGAGGTATTTCAGCCAGCTACTTGTAGCCTCTGGTCTTATCGTATAGATAACCAAGCTTCCCGCTTTGTTCTATTCGAATTAAGCGCTATGCACGTCAACCAGCTTCCAACGACATCGCTAGACGATGCGACCGAACGTCCAGCATCAGTACCTTTTGGTAGATCGGTCGGCTCTCCAATTGGCACCTAGAGATGTCAAAGCTCTCAGAACATCTCGCGTCGCGAGCGAATAAACAATATCGATGACAGGAAAACAAGCTGTCGCACCCCTTGACCTCATGGGCAATCTGAAGCGAGCAGAACCATCTGTTGTCGAAACGAGGACGGGAAGCGTGTTGTCCAGAGGCTTCATCTTGAAAACCATTATTACCCGTCTGGTTCGCTTGATTTTCATTGGTTGCTCTTCACAACGAGTTCAATAGGCCGAGCTCTTGATCTCGACTTAAATGTCCATGGTGCTCTCAACTTCAGGGCATCACGCAACACAAACGTTTTCGGGGTTGCTCAACCTCGCACACAGGGCCTACGAGCGATTCTTTCCGTCTTGCGCTGTCGCCCTGACACTATCAGTCCGTCTCATGTCGTTTGGTTTTCTACGCGGGAGGAACCGATTAGTAAGTTTTCCTCGCAATCTTCAAATGATCATCTTAATACATCAAATTTTGCGCGTCTTACTCACGATTCTGGGTGATCCATTTGTCCTCCTGTCTCTTCTGTCTCTCCTTTAGTGTATATATCAGGACGACCCTTCGTCTTGCGCGATTTTGTTGAACCAAGAAGAACCCTATCGTTATCCGATCGCGCTTAAGATGTAGAAGTCATAGAAGAACGTCTGAAAAACGACATTTTACAGGAATCAGCAAATTGATATACGTCTAACATCGCTTGTTGGTGACAGCACTAATTCTGTTTGACCAGGTATGGGGGGCCTAATATTAACTCACAATGAATTGCGTGAGCAATACAATATTTTCCTTCCATCGGATGTTGAGTGTCAACTGTTACAGCTGCCGAGACCGGGGACGGTGCCGTTTTGCCTACCTGGACCCATGTTGACAAGGTCAACGTAAGAACATTACGAGAACTCTGGGACGAAATGCGTGCAGATGGATGGAATGTAGAGGTACGCTTTCGTTGGTTTTTCATTTATTCTCCTGAATTCAAGTTTCATCTTATACTCTCTTCCTTGTAGTATCACCGGTATGTTGTTTATGCGTCCTGGCGCCAGGGTCACATCGTTGATCTATTACTTCAGTATCCCTATATCCCCTGACCGTCCCATTGAAGTGAGCACGTCATATTTGTAACTATGGTTTACCGCTTACACCACCTAGGACAACTACCTAGATGCGTACCTATACGTGTTATCAAAAACACAGATCCGGTACGAAGTGCTCTTGTATTTTCCTGCGGTATGGGTGCCGTTCGAAGTACATTCGCCATGGTCGCTGCCGTGATCGTCAGGAGAAAGATGCTGCTTGCTATAGGTTTAGAAGATCCATACCCGAGTAGGTCATCTTTCTTGAGCAATTTGGGTAGCGGATCCTATAAGATGGGATAACGGCAGCCCGGGCATCAGTACGGTGAGTTCACAATTTTTTCTTGATACAAATCCCTTGACATACTTTTGTCAGCCTACAAATCAGGTATGGAGCCCGTACGTCATTCGATTACGCCCGAGTGCTGATGAACTTGGTATTTCCTAAGGCGGCCACTGATATCAAGCTGGCTCAAGCGCTGGAAAATGCCAGTGCACAACAGGACCAAAATAAGTCACTTCTAAGATTGACCTATGTATTACAGCGACGTACGTATCACCGCGGCCTTATTTCGGAAATCACTTTATCTCTCACAGATCTCCATTCGCAGTCTGTGATTGCCTTGCTCATGGCGCAACCCACACTCTTGGAGAACTTACGCAAAGCGCACCAAGGCAATTATGGAGTGATACTGAGTCTACTCGGGTGTTTTAAATCACGGCTTACAGGCTAAAAGACTGGTCGACCGTGTAATAGATGCATGTAGGTGCATCGTCATGCTTCCTTATGTTTTAGATCTCGTGCCTTAAAATGACATTGTTATGTATTGGGGGTTGGCCGCTAACCATGTCTTGATTCCCTAGGTGATCATGTCCCTAATCTTCGGGAAGACGTCTTCACCTACAGGGTCGAATATTCACTCACAACGGCCGATAATGACGAAAGCAAACGAGAAGATCTTTTATCCAAGGCTCGGAGTGCGCTGGAGAAATACTACGTGGTTTGTTGTGACTATATTGTTTAATAACGGCTACCAGATACCCGCTAGTTTCTTCATGATCACCTTCGCGAGTTATGTTGATTCTGTTGATGACTTTGAGATGACCTTTTTGGATTGGCTAAATGTAAGCTATTCTCTATAATTGATGAAATATTTCCCAATCGCTGCATTAAAGTCTTTGTTAGGCGAGAACAGTAATTTCAGTGGTTTGAGCATTGAACCCATGAAGCTCAATGTGTGTAACACTGAATCTACCAGCAAGTATATTCATTGTTTTGGCTAATATCACAGATCTCATTGACAGTCACTTGCAGAAATGAGAATTTGATCAGGGTGTGAAAAGACAACAAAACCAGTATGTAGTGTTGTTGGCAGAATGAAATATTTTTCCAGGCAGCAATTGCTGGCAGTAGGTTGAGGGTGGTTGGCAGAAGTCAGCAGAACTATGATAGCCTGGCATTTATTCCTACTAACAAACAATAAAAGTTACAGCTATTTTCATATTGATAGACCAGAATCTGGAAAACTCACTTAGCTGCTTTTGTTTGTTGTTGGAGCGACACCAAACAGAGGCGCGCACGCTAGCTACTTTTGTAAATCTCTAACCTAACTTGGACTTGTGGGGCTTGTGTGGCACTGTGGGGCAGTGACAAGACCCTGGAATCATACCACATGCACTGACCTGCAACCAGCCGCACATGGTGGTGGTTATTACCAACTGCAGGTGACCTTGTCAAGAAAATGAAGCCCTCGCCGTGCAAGACACTGCAATGTTGTCGAAGGTAAGTTTTGGTCATCATAAAATGAGCTCCACTTAGTTTCTGCAACCCTAGCATTCTAGCGAGATCGCTGTCTCTTCGTCTCCGTCAAAAACAATGGTTTTCAATCATCTGACAATGTTGATCCATCTGGACACATACTCAGGTTGTCTGTGGTATATAATCCTGCTAGTGAGGGGTGAGTTGCTGCATCAATCATCTTCAACATGTCTGACTTGAACCCTAGTTCTCCAAGCCAGAGTCCTTTCATTAATGAGGGCCAATGCGATGTGGGTACCACAACCTGGCAGGCACATATAAGAAAAGTGCTCAGCCAGTATAAGTGAGTCTCAGCTCTGCCTAGCTGCTATACTTGCAGAATGCAAGAACGTTCGACCCTAAAGGGGAAGCAAGGAAAGCAAGGATCCACAGAATGATGCTGAACAACCCTGGTGAATAGCGGTGGAAGCACGAGAAATGCGCTGCAGGCGCGTGCGGGAAAGCGAAGTGCGAAAGTGTGCGGAGCATGGGAAGGTAGTGCAAGCAGTGCACAGGTGTAAAAGATGTATACTGAGACTGATATGAGGAAAAGCACGGATCTAGACGGATACTGACAGTGCCACTAGCTATAGACTGATGCTAGGGCCTCAAGATGATGATGGACACATGCATTGCATGGAACTAACTGGTGATAGATACTGAGTGGTAGGAAGCTAAGGTGGAATAGTTTTGTGTAAAACGAACATGAAAGTATGTAAGTTCTACCTAAGCGCTCTCCCAGGGCTCGGAGCCAAATAGGGAGCGCTCTAAGTATATAAATGAGGTAAAGTGATGTAAAGTAAGGGTCCATGATGAAATAGGAAGTGTAATATGCCAAATATGGTCAGATAATGAAAGGGACATACTGAGGGACTGGTTGGACGATGGATGGATGCTCCTGGATGATGTGCGATGCAGTGCGCTTAAGCGCGAGAAAGCGCGCAAGGCGCGCGCGCGGGAATGCTGCGCATTGTGCGGGAAAGTATTGCGCCTATGGCGCGTTTTGCGGGAAAGTGGTGCGCTCTATAGGGAAGTCATAGTGGATGATGGTGCGAGTTGTGCCATGAAGGCCAGTTGTCAGAATTCGTAAAATGAGCCCATATGTGCCTGCAGAAATGCGAGTCTCTACAGCGAGGTCCTTGAACGTCACTATCCCTGCGCTGGTTATTGGTTCAATATGCTTCTGATGCATCCTTTCATTCATGGTCCTCCGAGTCAGCATATGCAGACTCAATTCCAAGGCCCTGCTGGCATGCCTCCGTCTTTGCTCCAAGACATGCTACTATGTAATCCTGCCAGTGATATGGTCCATCGAGAGTCAGCCACTGCACCATCAACTCAACAGCCACACTACCCTGGCGCAAATATGGTGGTTTGTAAGTACATCCACTGTGTCATTGCACAACTAGATAATATCTAACTTTGTGTATTGCCAGCTATCACGAACATTGATATCTCTGTACCATTAAATACTGGAGTTGTAGGTGGACATGTCAGCCATGTCCAAATCTGCCTTCCTGTCGATGTTACATTTGAAGACTTTTTTTCACACATTTGTGCAAAGATGAACCTTGACTCAGTGAATGCTGAACTCGGGTACAAGTTTCACAATGATCGAGTCCGAGATGCCCCTCATCAGCTCTCCAATGAACAACAGCTTCGAGAGGCATTCAAGCAGGGCTGTGATCTCATCAAACGAGCTCGAAGTTGGCGAGTAGTTCTTGAAATACATAACCTGGTAAGAGAATACTTAGTGATTGAATATTGCTTACTGACTAGTACACTATTAGAAACCAGCTCGTCAAGCACCCTCTGCCACTCGTTCTCATCAGGATGAAGTTGTCAATGATAATCAAGACCCTCCGACCTGCATGAGCTTTGCTGCCGAGTTGCGAGAGCTCAAGAATAAGCTCAACTGTGAGAAGCATGGCAAATTCTGCTATATCAATCCTATTAGTGGTGACCATGAAGCTCAAGATATCTATAACCTCACCCTCTGGGCGAAAAAGATAGTAAGTGATAGAAACTTGTAACAGTGACATTTGACTGACATGTATTTGAAGTTCTTGGCAGAGGCTACCTATGATAAACCCCCGGAGATGGCTGCCTTTGACCATGTTCCGAAGAAACATCAATTATCTTCAGCAAATGGCCCATCTGCTACTAGTGCAACTCCTACTCTTCTGGTCATTCATGTCCATATTCCACCTGTTACTAAGGAGGCTCTTGGTGATACTGGTGGCCGCCGTCGAGTCAATACTTCCCGGTGTGAAAGAGAAATAGCGACTAGGCTCATTAGAAACTAGCACTACTTATCCAAATAGGTGCGAGTGTAGTATTCAACCCAAGAGGACTGCTATTGAAGCAACTCCCTTCTAATATGCAAGGGTAGCAATAGCGTGAAGGACTAATAACCTATAGCAACCTAAGACCAAAAACTGATGAGTAGCGCTATAGCAATCAGCGACAAGTGAGTTCCAACAGAGGAACGTGCATATAAGTGAGACGCGCTATGCAAGTTGTTTTAAGCGATAGCGCTATGTGACGTCCAACTAGCGACAGCGAGAAGAAATCAAAGGGAGTGAAAGCGAGGAGTAAGGTAAGACAGTGCAAGTGAAATGCCTGATAGCAACTAGATTATAGCTCGACTACCAATAGCGATCCTGATGTTGTGACAGTCAAACTTAAGAGGGAACTTTAGCGACACGCACTTAAAGCAAGTCAAGCGACACGCGATCAAAGAGATTGGCAAGAGTGGAATCGATTGCACCAAGACTAGGATATAGCGACTAAAGTGACTCTGACACCAGCAAAGGTCTGGGGAAGGGAAGTACTGTACTGTATGTGCGATGGGTCATTTTATCATACTGTGTAAAAATTCGGGAATGCGTAGGCGAGAATAGTAGCGACACTGGCGAGGGCACAATGTAGCAACAGGTAATAAAACATGCAGCGCAGTGGGACATGAGGATACATGTAATAAGACCTGTGACTGATCAGTAGCGACATTTAAGGAATATCAACGCACCAGTGGAGGTAGGTGGACATAGGCAGGACATGGGAGGACGGAATACCTAGGCGTCGGACTGGACAGCACGCTATGGGAGAAAGGTGGTTCCAAAGCGGATAGCTTGGGAGCTGAATAGCGCTGGTGACTAGCGGCTTACTCTTTTCCTCTAGACAAGGAAAAATATGCCTATGACACTCATACATGCCTAGCACTGGTATGATTGTCACACCGGGGTTTTGCAACGACTTTCCTTTGCCATGACAAGGATGATGAATTTATCACCTACCCTCCCATCACTGACGTCCTTCGTGAAATGGATGTCATGATGCCACTTTTGCATATGTCCCAATATGAGGATGATCTCCTCAATCATGGGGTCGCATATGTCAATAGCGTGATTGGCCTATTGGATGAGTTTTTTTGTTTATGTTGTTGGTATGCCCATGGGTGTCATTCAGTCATCCCTGAAAGTCACTCATCAACTCATTCGACACGCCAGGAAGGGCAAAGGAAGGGCCACTAACAATGATGATAAAGAGAACTATAGTGCCAGTGCTGCTGTGAGCAAATAATTTTAACAGTTTATGAAAGATTTAAAATATCTAAATTTCCTTTGTATAGTCTCTAAGGATCTAAATTTATTTAGTATATTAGGTTTCCTGCCGATTATCCATTATAATATCTAAACCATTTTTTACCAATATACCACATTTATAATTTAGGTTAATACATTTAATTTAGTATTTAATTTAGTATTAAATGGTACATATTTTTTAAATTGTGTTGAAATTTGAACGAAGGTCAAACATTTGAAGCCTTGATTTGTAGTTGTCAAGTAGTACTTGTGGTCGTACGAAATATTGTATTCTCATCATGATCACGTACTAGCTGTAATTGTACATTATCAATCACATCAAGTATCCACTGTCTGCAAACCATCCTCAAACTTTTTCCTCTGTCATAGATGCAAACACTGCTTCCCACAGCAGGCTATAAGGATCACAGGTCATTTTGCCTGTTAATTCACCTCTGGCATAGTTATGGTTCCGCCTTATCCAAGCTTTGAGGGCCGAAAAGGCTTCTTCGATAGGGTTGAAGTCAGGAGAATAAGGTGGCAGATAAATGAGGCACATCCCCCTGAAAAAAGATCAATGGTCAATGACACTACTCGAACAGTGACATTGGGATAACATACCTTCGCCAGATCATCTCTTCAAGATACGCCAACTTGTGTATGCTAGCATTGTCCATCACGATAACGGAGTTCTTCTGAGGGTATTGGTTCATATTGTCAAGCAAACCCTCTATGAATTCATTGAATGTCGCTGCAGTATATGAATGATCTTGGATATCAAGATGTAAGACGCCGTCTAGTGAGATAGCAGGAAGAATAGAATATCTGAAAAGACAAACTACTGTCAAGATGCCCTCATTAGCAAAATTTCGACATGCCTTTGACCCCGAATGAAATAATCGCGCCGATGAGCACACACTCCTGTCATTGACCATGCATTTGGGCACTTAGTGGTAATTCGGTTACAGGCAGATTCATCTATGAAGATGAGCTAGTCAGGACGGAGATTTTCAGCAATAAAATTTCATATTGGTTGCGTTTGTCTTCATTACGCTCAATTGCAGCTCAAGTCACCTGTATGATACTGTTATAATTTATATGCACAAGCATATTTTACATACATGCTTGTGAGTCAATCCATGCCTATGTAGTGTTCATTTGATGGTGGCAAGGGACACCTCAATATCCCTCACCTCCCATAGAGCACTTTGTAGTTCAGATAGAAATATGTCAGGAGTGTGCTTGACACGTGAAATAAGGTACTGTCACAGTTAGGTATCAAATTCAAAATACTTTTGTGCCTTCACTTACTGCAACGTCCTGTGCTGTAAGTAGACGAGGACGACCACTTTCCAGAGGCTTTCAAACGACAGAGCCTGTGAGTTGCGAGAGCCAAAGAACTTGATTGACTGTTTGATGGCTGGATCCTGTCACTTGCGCTATGGTCTTCGATGTCATGCCATGTGTGGACATAACAACCCACTGCTGCTTCACAGCATCTGGTATATGTCACCAGTTTCTGTGCATCATGATGATGGTCGGCAGTTGTTGTAGTGCTAGTATTCCACAAGCAAGTTACAAAAGTAGCTAGTGTGTGTGCCTCTGTTTGGTGTCACTCCAATAACAAACAAAAGCGGCTAAGTGAGTTTTCCAGATTCTGGTCTATCAATATGAAAATAGCTGTAAACATATGTTTGAATGTATCCAAGTGTGCAAGTTTGCAATTATCATGGCCCAAAAGTCCAAGGGCTGTCCTGTCCAAAAACTTGTGTCTGACAGCTTTGTTCTTGGGGAGAAAGTCAAAAATAACTCAAACCACTACTTTTTCACATGTAACTCTCAACATACATTGAGGGCTGTGACAACAACTACCTCAAACATTTAATTAACCAAAAAACATGCCCAAATGCTCCTAATCACACCCATGCAGAAGTTTATAGCTACCTTACTATAAAGAAAGGCAATCAAGACCTTCTATTCCCACCTATCACAGAAGCAGAAGCTTCTTCCAAGTTGACCAGTCATTCTCAGGTCAAACTGGCATGGAATCACAAAAGCAAAAGAATCTTCTTGGGTATGTAGATCTCCCTCATAGACTGGAGTGAGCTAGACAGGGTTGACAAAGGTATCATGCCAACTGGCTTTGTTGAAGAGATTGATGTACTCAATTGGGGCTCAGAGAGTGCATCAGGGTGGAATATCTGCACTTTTGATATCAGAATGTATAGCCTCAATGTAGTGGTCAAAATTATTTTTGCTATAGTAGTCTGGTAGAACCCTAGTTGAAAAGAGCCAAAAGTGCTCACAATATATTTTGCCAACTTCCAGTGCCATTCTCCCAATTGCCATTCTGCTATTTTGCCAATTGCCATGAGGCCAATTTCTTTCTGCCCCCTACACCACCAGTATGTAATCAGAGGTGGCAACTTATGCAAATCATGAGGTGACAGTAGTGGGAAGTACATACCTATTGTGTGGTTTAATCTGATGTAGGAACACTAGCTATTGCAGAGCCTGAATATATATTACTAGCACTATTCTGATGACTGAATTATATCTGGTTTGTAGGTCTGCATATCTGATTTTGGTCTGAATACAAAGCTACCATATGTCCATATGCTTCTGTTGGAGTCAGATGCAGTCAGTCATAGTACAAGTGCAAGTGTCAACACTAGGGAATAGCAAGGGTATCCACAACCCATGTGGGTTGTGGATGTGGGTACCCCTGGGGTATGGGTGGGGTCTGTACTTTGGGTACCCATACCCCTACCCACACCCTTGCAATGGGTTTGTAAGCAAATGTCTCATTTTGAAACTCTGAATAAGCTAGTATTACACATTTGTATTGAATCTTAAACTCTAAACCTAAACACAGCACTCTTCTAATCATCACAGCATGCAACCCACATTTTTCTCAGGCACTGCCAAGTATATTACAAAACTAATGGACAAAGCTAAAGCTGCACTAGATGAGAAGTGGGAAAGCTCATCAAACAAATAAAAGAATAATGAAAGTGCTACTAGTAGCACACAGTCAAAAAGGCCAAGTTAAACCAAGCACATGGTAACAATGTTGAAAAAGCACCTCCTAAAGACCATGGAGACCCTGCATTACATCATGATGATGATGCTATTGTCATCAGTGATGACAAGAGAGGAGTGGGTATGAATACTGACAAGGATGAAGTGAGCATGGACAAGGAAGAGAGTGCAGAGGATGAACTCAGTAAGGTCAATTTCACTAGTCTAAGTAATACAAGTTAAAGAATGGTTAATGAAGGAATGGAATTCACTGATCTACATATTTTTTGACCCTACGCCTGCTATAGTCCATTGATGGTTGGCATGCACATTCCTTCAATTGCATGGCCAAGAGATGCAAGGTTAGAATTTGATGCTTTCTTGACAAAAAAGATGCATGATCCATGGAAAATATGTGGAAACATGTCAAATCCTGCTGGGGTGAAGATGTATTGCAAGCTGCTGATGAAGCTGGGAATGCAGATGAGGTCCTGACCAAGATCATTGCAGGTTTCATCAGGAAAAACTGTATCTGTATATAGAAGACCCTCCTCTATATAGCCTCCATAGTATGCCATAACTCCATATAGTCTATGACCAGCTATAAGAGTATATAGACCACTGTAGAAATCATGTAATTCTATAGATTACCATAAAGTTTGGCATAGGGAAAGTGTCAAAATGCACAATCTCATCAAGTCTTTCAACAAAAAGTATCCATGATTTTGAAGTATTTTGCTTATATCTCACTAGGATCTTATCCTATTGATAATATGAGACCATAGATAGACTCTCCTTGACAAGGGCTATGACTTTGGTTTTCATCGTAAAAGTTCCCACAGTCAAGTTGCTTTCTTGAACCCTTCAATTTCGAGTATTTTGCTTATAATTCACTAGGATCTTAACCTATTAATGTCATGAGACTATGGATAGAATTTCCTTGACAAGGGCTACAATTTGGTTTTCATCAGAAAAGCTCCCACGGTCAAGGTGCTTTCTTGAACTGTCCACTTTCAAGTATTTTGCTTATAGTGAGTTAGACATCTTAATCTATTGATACCATTAGACTATGGATAGACTCTCCTTGACAAGGGCTACAACTTTGGTTTTCATTGGAAAAAGTTCCCATGGTCAAGTAAGCAAAAGTGCGAAAATTCACTTACTATCATTGGGCCAGAGTTGCAAAATGCCTCGTAGCACACACAACAACACATCTTAAGTCCCCCACTCTTGGATATAGGAGCTTTCAACATATATTCATAGTACAGTATTTTTGTTTTATAAAAATAAAGATGAGGAACACATATGGCTTCAAATCTATTATTTCGAAGTTATCTTTTTTCATGTAGAATAGTCAGGCAAAAGCAAAATTCACAACCGAAAAATGATTTTTTTTTTCTTCTGCACACACTTTATGCCTACCCTCACCTTCTGAGCATTTTTCCAGTGAGAATGAAGCACAGTTGCTGTTATTATCGACAATGCAAGCATCAATGTCAGAGAATGATCAAGCGTGACGGCTTGGAGCGGAGAACCAATTTTGAGTGCGGCAGTGTACGGCTGCAAAACTTTCAATGACAACTTGAGACTGCTCGGGTACTCAATAGTGCTGTTGCATGCCAGCGTGTCATGCTCATGTCTTCAGAACAAAAGCTCAGAAACTCAATGAAGAGTGAGAGAAAAAATTCAGGATGTCTGTGCTATTCTTCTTGCTTCTCCTTCTCCAAATATTTGTACTGCTGCCAAGGAGCATAATGTTTCATATCACACACTTTGATGGCACTATCTTGGTCTCACTCAGCCCTGCTACAAAGCTTATGGACACCAACAGCTCTTGTCCCCTGCATCGGAATCTGTGCTTGTTGACTGGATCAAGCACCTTAGCTCCATGGGGCATCCACTCAGCAAATGGACAATCCAGATCAAAGCTGCAGTGCTTTCTGGAAAAAGCCACATGAAAAGTGGATCAGGGGCTTTCTTCGCCCGGCATCCTGACATCACTCTGGGAAAGCTGTCTGCATTGGATCCAAATTGTTGCCAGAGTTTCAACCACACCAATGTCAAGCATCATTTTGAGCTTCTTAAGAAAGTCATTGAGGAAAAGGAAATTCCTTGGGAAAATGTCTACAATATGGACGAGAAAGGGTGTCAAAGAGGGGGTGGCTGGAAGACATCTCCAGAGAAGTATTTTGTGCCTCAGGGTAGATATCCAAAGTACAAAGCTCAAAGTGCAAACCTTGAGCTCATCACAGTCATTGAATGTATATCTGCAGATGGTGCGAGCATCACTCCAGGGTTTGTATTTTCCGGAAAGTCATATCACAAAAGTTGGTTCCAGGCACATCCAAACATTTGGTATGTCTATGTTTCACCACTTCGAAAAAAGTCTGAATTTTATCTCAGTGTTGCAACATCACCAAATGGGTGGACGGATGACTTTATCTGTATGAAATGGTTTGAAGACTTGTTCATTCCTCAGGCAACAGCAAGAAATAACTCCAGGAAGCCAATACTTCTTATCTACGATGGTCATGGTTCCCACATCACAAAAGAAATGTGCGAGCTGGCTGTGTGACATAATATTGAGTTGTTTTGTCTACCACCTCATACAACACATGAGCTACAGCCCCTCGATGTTGGAGTTTTTGGCCCTCTCCAGCGAGCGTGGTACAAGCGCTGTGAGGATGTGTTTGATGAAACTAGTGATGAAATTCCCAGACAGGACTTCATCAATCAATATATGGCAGCTCAGGCCCAGGCATTTACAGAAGAAACAATTACAAAGGCATGGAAGAACAGCGGCATACATGCACTCAATCCCCACATCTTGACTGACAAGGACTTCGCCCCAAGTATGGTCACATCAACAGAAGCACATGTCCCACCCTCATTCCCCATCCAACCTAGCCAGCTTCATCTATATCAAGATATCTTACCTTGTGACGACACAGTCGAGGCCGGCGACATTGATGCTGGTGGATGAATCGGAGTCCAATAGTGATGGGTTGGGCAGTGAGAGTGAGTCAGGAACCTCTGACAGCAGTTCAGAGTCGAGTGACAAGAGTGAAGAGTCAGAGACAGATAAGGATAGGGATGATGAAGATCAGCACTCACATGTCCAAACTTGCACTTCACCACCTTCCGACTCATCCGACCAACCATCAATGCAGGCCCAGCTTGCCATGCTGGAGGTAAAAGTCAAATCCTTGGAGTTTGAGCTGCATTCTGCCAAAGCTCACTGTGCAATGGCGCTGAGCAAGGTGGGCTTGATGAAGAAACAACTCAATAAGTGGCAAAAAAAGACACAGGCAAGGAATATCAATGCACGATGGTTGACGTCTGCGGAGGGACTGCAGCAGTGTGAGGAACAGGATGTGGCGAGGGAGGCCAAGGCTCAGAAGAAAGCAGAAGCGGCGGCACAGAAAGCATCGAGGCAGGCGAGTAGGCTGGTTTGACAGGCTATGCAGGGATCAGACATCCGTTTCATCACCGGCGCTCTTTCCACGAAAAGCAAGGAAAACCTCATCAACATCGTGAATCAGCTGAAGATCGAGACAACAGGCACCAAGGCTGAGTTGTTGAAGGCCATCAGAGAGTACTTTGATTCTCATACCAATCTCAAAAATGATGTGTGATTCGAGGGTCTCTTTAACGGCCATTCACACGGATGAAGCGGCCACTCCAAGTTGCCAATATCACGGAGAATGAGGAAAACATTCCTCCACCAACAAACCATCAATGCATCAATCCATTGTTCCCCCCCCCCCACCCCCCCAATCGACTCTGCATCTTTTGTGTCACATAATAGGTTATACCTGCCAATGCAATTTAATTTGAGCAACTACCCATCTTCTAGTACAATACCACCACCACTTTATCCACAAGCATCTTACTCATACTATAGTCACCCATAAATATTCTTTACCATATATTTTACATACTGTACACCAATATTCCTCCCATAGAATGATTCCCTGCAGCCACAATCAATGTTTTTACTCTAAATTCAAGACTTGTATTTTGCATTGCACCATTTGCCATTGGACTAGGGTAGACGCAGAAGAAAGCAGACTCTATGAGGATAGGTGTTGTGATGCTACTCTACAAACAGAGCTGACTGTGTAAGTCAGTGGCTGACTAAGCTAAGGAAATCGCCTCTGGGCTATGAGTCTACTATCAGCTTGAGAGACTGCCTCTTAGTCTATGCCTTGGGACCCCTGGTCCACCGTGGCGAAGTTCAGTTTTGCAAAACTGACACTGTGACACAGTGTGACACCTGTGCCAACTTGCCTGTGAGAAAATTTGCAACTCTCTACTGTTTCTAAAATTTTGCGTTGGCATCCCTCTGGCAGCATCGTTTGAACACTTTTTCAGTTCTTCTGTCAGCTGGAGCTCTCCCATGACACACATAGCTACAGGTCTGTATAATTATTTTGTTTTAATGTGTAGCAAACAACGAGATATGAAAATGTGGTTGTCAGATTTTGCAACTCTGGCCCAACGATAGTAGTCAAAATTCACCAAGTCTTGTGATGTGGCTTTGTTTGGTGCAGCTTATATAAGCAAAAGTGCGGTCAACCACAATCTTTTCCTGTCTTTTTCCTTCCTTTCTCTCACTGTCTCTTCCTTCCCTCCTTCTCATTCTCCTTCCACTCAATAATTTTCGCATTTCTGACTACCTGGTAAGTCTTTCTTTTGCTTTCTCTCTTCTTTTCCTTCCCTCTCTGACCCTCTCCTTCTAGCTCCGCATTTTTGACTATTTGGTAAGTCTTTCTCTCTTCTTCCTTCCCTCCTTCCACTCAATAATTTTCGCATTTTCGACTATTTGGCAAGTCTTTTTCTTTTCTTCTCCTTCCCTCTCTGACCCTCTCATTGTTCTAGCTCCGCTTTTTGACTATTTGGTATGTCTTTCTTTCTCTCTTCTTCTCCTCCCCTCTCTGACTCTTTCCTTCTCTAGCTCTCTTCCCTCCTTCCCCTCAATAACTGGCAAGTCTTTATTGTGTTTCCACCTTCCCTCTCTAATTCTTCTTTCTAGCTCTCTTGCCTCTTCCTCCTGTGATTTTCGCATTTTTGCCTCCTTGGTAGTTAGTAGTTTACATGTGTTGTAGTAGTTACTTGAAATATAATTTGAAATTTTCGCTTTATTGGGTTTTGAGAGCTACAAAGGCAACAAATATGAACCAAGATAGCTTGAAATGGGTTTGATGTTGGTCATCTATATAGCAAGATATAGTTATCATAGTACTGTATAACACTATAGCACACTATGTATTGCTATAACTAGCCTACACAATTGGGCACTTGGTTATACGAGCTATAGCTCTATGGCCCCTATATAGCACCTTATAGCACTTTATAGTGCTATAGATGGCTATATATCCATATCACATTTCCTGATGTTTCTGAAAGATAGATCAATTACAACTGCATTCAAACAAAAAGGTAAGGGGAAGGTCACTTACTCGCATCACCAGAATACCCAGACAGGGACAAGGTATGATAACATTGAGATAGAGAGTTTTTGGGGCTGATATAGTTGCATTCAGAGCCAAACTTGTTTGCAAACCACCATGCCCTCATAGCATTCTCGGCGCGTCTTGAATGAAAAGGTGTACCTCTAACTTTACTATTAGACATTATTGAGGTGCTGAGAGTAAGTACTTGACTCACCAAGTTAGAGAAGGACATGGTGCCAAGACATTATCAGTCCCACACAGGTAAGGAGCTTACAGCAGCCTTCAAACAAGTGCTGAAAGATTATGGAGTAACAAGGAAGGTCAGTACACAATCACTGTGTATACTCACAGGACTCACCAAATGATAGATTCTTGTTGTCACATGCAATAATGTGGCCAACAATATTGTGATACTTGAAGAGATGACAATCACACTCTCCAATTTTAGTGGTATGGCAGCCCACACAAGGTGCTTCTTGCATACCATCAACCTTGTGGCAAAATCTCTCCTTCAACAGTTTGATGCACCAAAGAGCCATGACCACAAGAAGCATGTCCTGAATGTTGATGGTGAAGACAGTGAGGATGAGGGTGGTGAAGCTGACATTGATGATGATGACATCAATGGGTTTGTCGATGAAACTGATTTGTTGACACATGATGCATGCAAGAGCCTGTAACAGAACATTTGTCCAGTCACGCTGGTACTTGTTAAGGTCTGTACATTAGAATAAATAAAAACATACCTTAACAAACATATCACACAGCTTCAGAAGCTTGCATTCAAGGTCATTCACTCCTCCTGCCCACATGGCACAACATCCTTCAAGAACAGTTAAGGCCAGTTACCAACATCCCATGAGATGTGGCAACATGCTAGAATTCAATGTTTGACATGCTTGCATGTCTCAAAACACTGAAAAGCAGTTAACATGATTATACAGTAAAGAGATCTGGGTTTGAGAGGTCTCAGCTGTTGGATCATGAGTGGTTAATAGTAGACCAGCTATGAGATATTCTGAAGGTGCATAACATGTAGCTGTAGCTCATTGTTTACTAATGAACCAAAATGGAACCCTAATCAGATTCTCAAAGATGCAACAATGTTCTTCTCATGGTCAACACCTGATCTCCCTACCATCATTCCACAAAGGATTTAATTGACGAAAAGCTCACCATGTATTCTAAGAATGTTAATTATCAGCCATCAATTCATGCTGCTATTGGACTTGCTAAAAAAACACTGGATCACTACCACCAACTCATGGACCATTCTGAAGTGTACCACATTACTATAGGTAAGTCCTCTACTTGCATTTCAAGTAGTCTTACTCACTATCATTCAGTGCTTCACCCATGCAATAAACTTGTGTATTTCAAGAATGTGGGGTGGGAGGATGAGTGAATTCACTTGTGAGGGATGAGTTTAGACACTCATACTTAGTCACACCAGATGCTAACTCCAACACTGATGAAAGGGACTTGATTGGATCTTCTCAACCCATGGTGAGTTATTATATGGTATAACTTAACTTGTATGCTAACTATGATGACAGGATAATATCTTTGACAACATACCTGCACTAGCACCTCCAAAACTGACCAACCTTGGCAATGAACTTAACCACCATCTTAATGCTGATGTGGAACATGTTGATGATCCCCTCATAAGGTGGCATGAGTGCCATGCAACCTTTCCTTGACTCTCCTGCATGGCATTAGATTATCTGACTATTCCTGGCGCACACAGACCTTTTTGTTTTTTGGTGAAACTAACATCTAAATTTTGACTAAAGCTACCTCAGTCAACATAGAGCAGCTTTTCAGCTGTGGATGGCTCATTCTTTCACATGTCCATTCTTGCTTGAATATGCAATCGACTTGTATGCTGTGACAATCATTCTGGTGCTTGGCAGTTATACCTGCATAAATTTCAGATAGGTGGACCAAAGCTAGCCCTCATATCATTCACTACTCACCTATCAGCAGTCTTCACTTCTTTCGAGCCCATTCAGTCACATTGCATGTATTATACATGCAGCAAATGTTGAAAATATGCTGTTCCACACAGGCCAGCAGACGTCGGCCAACCAAATATCTATGTCTGTGTTTAACATTCGGCCGGTGGGCTCATGGAGTGATGGTTTTAACAGCTGGGCCCATGCATTGGGATGCTCGACATTAACATATTGGCTGAGGGCCAGTAAAATCGGTGGTGTGATATTGTCAGCTGGGCCCACACACTATAGCTACTGTGTGTACCAATCGGCCGATGGCAAGTGTCTCATCTGGCCGATGACAGGGGTGAAGCATATATGTTCCTGTGCGGATTGGTCTGGCAATTGTGGGTATGATGCCATCATATGGGCTGAGAGACATGAACAGGTATTCATGTTCTCGGCCGATGTGATTGCATCAGATATGCAGTTTCGTCAGGCCCATACGTTTGCATCAGTTTCATCGGCCGATCTGATAGCATCAGGTATTCAGTATTCTCGGCCCATGTGATAACATCAGGCAGTTGCATTGACCGACCTGATGGCATCAGGTATTCAGTATTCTCAGGCCCATGTGATAACATCAGGCAGTTGCATCAGCCGACCTGATGGCATCAGGTATACCTTTCTGTTGGCCCATACGATAATGTCAGGCATTCAGTTTCGTTGGCCCATACGTTTTCATCAGTGCCATCAGGCCGACCTGATGGCATCAGAAATTCATTTCCATCGGCCCATATGATAACATCAGGCATTCAGTTTCATTGGCCCATACGTTTTCATCAGTGCCATCGGCCGACCTAATGGCATCAGGAATTCATTTCCATTGGCCCATACGATAACATCAGGCATTCAGTTTCGTCAGCCCATACGTTTTCATCTCGGCCCATACATTTTCATCAGTACCATCAGCCGACTTGATGGTATAAGGAATTCATTTCCGCCGGCCCATACGATAATATCAGGCATTTAGTATATTCGGCCAACATGATAGTATCAGGTCTATCGGCCAATATGATGGCATCAAGTATTTGTTTTGTTGGCCCATATGATAATATCAGGCATCCAGTATACTCGGCCGACATGATGGTATCAGGTCTTTCGGCCGACATGAGGGCATCATGTATGTATTAATAGCTGACACCATCATGTCGGCTGATGGTACTGATGCAAATTTGTGGGCCAATGAAACTGAATACATGATGTTGTCATATGGGCCGACGAAAGGTATACCTGATGCCATCAGGTCGGCTGATGAAACTGCATACCTGACATTATCATATGGGCCAAGAATACTGAATACCTGATGCTATCAGGTCGACCGACAAAACTGATGTTATCATATGGGCCAATATGTAACTGAATACATGATGCTATAGGATGGACCGGTTGGTTGGTCGGTCACCAAATAAAACCATCGGTTATTATCATACTATCACTGCGCTATGTAAGCTGAGACAGAAACATATTAGTCTACACCCATGTAAGTTGCGTACGATGGCTGAGGTGTCCCCACAAAATTCTGAAGGCTGTCATGTATGAACCAAGCCCACACAATGTGATCGCCGGTGTATGTGACACCATGCCTGACAAAGTGGCCAGAGCAGCCGACCATAGCGCCCGAGTTATATTGCAACCGAATACTGAGGTTAGATAATGTCATGAGCCAAACCCTTCAGGAGTAGAACTTGGATCTCGGTGAAGAGGACATTGTCTGTTGCAAATTACAGGCTGCACAATTAAACACCAAGGCCCAAAATTGCAGGCAAGTGCTCATATCACTGAGGCAACATTCCACTGCCCATCAGGCAAGTTTGATATGTGTAGTGACCGACACCCAATACAACTTTGGATGCATCATCCTAAGAGCAGCTGAGGCCAGTAGTGCTGCGCACTGCATAGAGATCATAATCTCAGGACCACCTTTCCCTTTCAGGGCGGCCGACACCTCGGGGGTGAATCCATCGGCTGGTGGTAATCCATGTGGCTAAAAGTTCGACATAAGCATTAGCATTCGGGTGGAGAAGCAGACTGACCTCCCGGCCTTGCATGAACCAACAAGGGGCTAAATTGATACATCCTGGGGTCAATTGGCGTTGGTCACTGGCATGAAAATTACCAGGGAATGTTCTCCACTGGGTGTCCAGACCACTGGTCATGCTTTTCATCCAGAAGGGACCCCATACCAATTGTAGCGTCTTCCATCTCGGCCTGTGAAGTCGGCGAATCAGTCGGCCGATGGGTCATAATAATCAGCTCACTTGATCCACGGGCTAATGGCATCTGGAAGGTACCACAAGATAATATGACTGGCTGAGTCCAAAATGACCGAGGGCTTCTCCAGCAAATGTTCTGGCCCACAAGGGAATCTTCATGTGTTGCAACCATCCCAGTAGAGCGTTTATGGAGGGCCTCATTGTACCTAATCATATCAAGGTCAAGTTGGACTGAAATGAGTCAGGCAACGACCGAGCAAATGGTAGGAATGGCCTACTTGGGTTTGAATAGACATCGGCGAGCACCCGGGCCAGATGCTGACAAGCAAGCATGGTTGGCACATCAATTGTCAAGGGAGGCGAGATTGACTGTGCATTTCCAGCTACATTGCAATCAAACAGCTGTTTCACAAACTCGCTAGCAATGCATGTGGTATACAACGCACAGTCGGCTGGAACTGCAGTCATGACTGGAGAACAAGAAAAATCAGAGACCAATGGCTCATATACACACTGACCAAATCACATTAGGTGATACTATTCATATTTCCAGTATAATACATAATATTACTGGTGCAATAACTAGCAGCTGACTCATGGCCGGCGGGAGATTAAGAGCACTTCCTCCAGCTGATCCATGGGCCCTTCAAGTTCGGACATGGTTATTGCGGCTGCCGCAGCCTTCATGGTCTTCTCCTGCAACATCCTTTCTAATGAATCGCCGAGATGTTGGACACGGGCCTTCACTGCCAGAATTTGATTGAGGAGGGGATTACCTTCCACTTGACCGGTGACTGCAGGGCCGGGCAGAAGCATTGCTCCCATAGGCTACAAATGAGAATCAGTAGCAGTTGAGCATCAAAGAGAAATGACCGACCAGTTGCTCAAAGTGATCTGCCATCATATCCAAGACTTCATTGACATCCAAGGACAGCAAGGCGAATCCCAAGGTATCAAAACGATCCTTCCACCAATCATGAGCATATTTGAGAACTACTCTGTGAGTTGATCTCAGTTCAGGGTCATGAGGGGAACAGTGCGCGAAGAATTCGGCATAGAACTGCTCGCCGGTGATGTTCCTGGTTTGGAGACAGGTGAATCTGCTGATGATGCTGCGGAGGAGGTCGGTCATGGTCAGGTGAGTATTGAGCACCATGCATATGTTGATGTATGGGAAGACAAATGTCTGAAGGTGTCATATACCATATATCCGGTTACAGATCCGATGATCTGGATCTCAGATCTGATCCAGATCCGATGAACATATCCATCGTCCGGTCCACAGATCCGCTTTGATTCTTATTTCATTTCCTGTTCATATAACTCTAACTATCGTTCATCTCCTTTCGGTATTCCTGTACACCGGTATACCGGTTATCCTTTACTTCTGCTTTGCTTACTGATCCGCTATGCTTACTGATCCGCTATGCTTACTGATCCGCTACACTTACGAATCCGCTTTTACTTGTACTTCATTCCCGGTTCATGATTCGTGATCCATCCAACTTACCAATACGCTCCACTTAGACTTTGCTTATACTTTCGTACATAGCCTCGCACCTTTGCTTATTGATCATTCCGTTAGCTATCCGTAGTATATAAACCTTTGTATATGCGCTGTAGTAGATCAGTTCGAATATCATCTTAGATTGCACTCATTCCGTCTGGACTCTGAGTCCCTCCGTTATCCATCCGGACTTGAGTACGCTACTCTTGTCTACTCCGAGACTTAGGATAGATTCCTATAGTCTACATATCCGCCTCTGTCTTCGGACAGTCCTCACCCGTTAGTTTCTAGTCCGGATCCGATCCGGATTGGCCGTTACTCTATACGTTCGATATCCGGAAGTCTTAACGGATCCATTGCAATACTTATCCGTTTCACTAGACGCGATACTTTAGCTCTCTGAAATAAGGGGCAAGACTCGGGAAAGGGGCACAGCGCACGAGCTGAGGCCGAAGCCCTTCGGATCCGATACTACTTGAGTACGGTCTTAACATAAATGCAGAATCACAAGGTTATATATAATTGACTAATCCACTGTGGCCTACTATGGCACTTACCACCACCCGAATGCGGTTGTGGCACTGTAGACCCCGGTCCACTCTGCCACCCTCGCCATCCCCTTTGTCCTTTCAAAGCTATCTTGGGCTTGCTGTGAGAGTTGGAGATAAATTTGAGCCTGGTGGACCGCATAGCACCAATGACCGACCTTCTGGTTTGCATCGGCCTCTTGCATTCGGCCGACCCATCGTTGTGATTTGTGAAGAAAAAAATCAACCACCCATATCATTTCCCGACCGACCAGCAGGAGCTCCTCTGCCCATCTATCACGCAGTGCCAGCGTTCTAAGCCAATGGACACGGTAAACTGTAGTGCAAAAAATATTGACATCGGATAGGTACAGGTACATAGGCAATGAGCATACATACATTCATTCATCCAGTCATTGCTGGTGGAATCTCCTTGAACATCAATGGACCAGAACCACGCCAATGTGCTATTCCTTTGCCCACGAGCATTTGGGTCTGCCACCACCGTAGTAGCCTTTAGGTTGGCCTTCTCCAATGGCCAAAACTTGGCCAGTAAGTCATCGGCGCCGAGGTGAATGAGTTGGCTGCCACATTTGGAGTATATCTGTACATTTAAGTGAAGGATCTTGTCCACCAAGTGCACCCGGGCCCATGCACGAGTTGACCGAGCTTGTGACTTTGCCAACCGGACCGTGGTGCGGAAGAGAACAGCCTTGTTGGCCAAGTTAACCCTGATGGCATGCAATGCGTCATTGGCTTGACCTTCTCTCAATAATATTTCTTGGAGCACCAGGTCGGCGACGCCCCACTCAGCACATCTTTCAATCCCTATGTTCGAGGGCAGTGGAATTACCAGGGTCTCGGGAGTGAACTTGACCAGCATATCATATCGGTCTTCGTCATCCAGCTGATCAGGATTGTCAGATGATGACCCAGCAGAATCCAGTTCTGCAGCATCCAACATCATGGTCATGAGGTCCAACTGATCATATTCATCCAGTTGATCGCCGAGAAATGTCACTGCCACCCTGACGAATTCATCTATTTGACCTTGCATTCTGTCGCGGCGCCGAGCTATCGCCAGCTTCTGAGCATTGGTTGGCCGCCTTCCAAGTTTCTTCACATCAATCAGGAGTGCAACTTGCGCCTCCTCCAGTGTTATTCCAGATGCCAGCCATGTTGCAGCACCTTGATGGATCTCGCCGGCCGGCCATCTCACCTGTCGGGTCAACAGATGCAACTCTTGTTGTTTCCTTGTCGGTGCTTTGCAGATCAACATGAGCATATAGTAAATTGTGATTATATTGCCACAGACCTTTTGTCATTTTAACTTCATATATATCCATGGCGCTGGGATTTTCGAGTTGGTCATCCTGAGCGGTGGCAGCCTCTGCTTCCCATTTGACAAGGGTATCATGATCGGCAGTCTCACTCAATCGGTCAAATGCGTGTTGGCTGTCTCGCACTCCCTGCACAGCCTCCTTGAATTTTTGGCAAAGGAATTTGCCTATCTGTATTTAGATTTGCACTTTGGTCAAACGATCTGGCTCACTCATCCTTATCATCTTCATAAAATTACAGTCATTCATTTGAAAATCCAAACACTCCTTTTGGTGGGGGGTGGACATTCCTCTCGCCGACGGTGATATGATGTTCAAGGGTGCCCACAGGGTCTCCATGATTTTGCCGTCGATCCTGGCAGCACCGGTGATGAAGTTGGATGCATACCATACGTAGCATTTGTCTTGATGGACGTGGACATGCCAGAGACCGATGCCAGGGATTACCTCCATGCCCCATGGAAGGTCAAGATAAGGCGACTCCTCAACCCGCTGGTCGAGATGCTTGTGGTATTGACAGTTGATGTCATAGAACACCAATGCCCGGTCAATCCCATCAGTGTTGTACCCCAGAGCTTGACACAGCGCATAATCCATGTTCATCTGCCTTTGACCAACCAATAAATCAGTTCACATCGGGCAAATGAAGATATTGATCGGCGAACCTTTCCCCCTTTTGAAAGTCCACCATTGAATGAGGTACAAAACACCCATGTCTAGCGCATGCACAACCGCCAATCCCAGTTGCTTCAAGCTTGTGACGTGAAGCGTTCGCCTGATTGACAGCTCGGTGGTTGTTGCAGTCCGACCGATGTACAATATCCTGTGCCTCAGCGAGATGCAGTTTGTATCGGCCATCGCCGACCATAAATCCAAGGCCATCGGTCAATGCCACCTCATCGGTTGGATTCACTGGAAACAGATGCTCGGCCTTGAAGTTGCCATCCATCACCAAGGATCTCGAATATAGCCATGCAGGATCAGACACATTCCTTTCTGCCAAATTGATGTTTACCCCGGGCTGCGGACATGCAGGACAGAACAGTGCAAGCTCCCCTGACTTTGGCTTTTGCTTCTCATGGCCGAACCCATGCCACTTGAGCTGCTTCAGCTGTCTCCACTGCCTGCCCACCCTCATCAATTCTCTGTATCAGTCCTTTTGGCCATTGTGAGTGATGCAATCAAGCACATCAATGTCACTTACTGGAACCAGATGCGGGAATACGCTTGAAGTGATTCGCCTTAATTTGCTATAGTAGTTCATTGCCAACATTCCACATTCCAGGTTATCCAACAGGAAGTTGTCCAACACTGCAAATGTGAACACTGTCTTTGGCAAAGTGAAAGATGCTGGGAAGAGGCCGATTTCAAATAGTTGCATGTTGGGACCAAGTGCACTGGCGCACCGACAGAATCTGATCATTAGGGAGTGGACACCTGATGTATCCACCACCGTAGTCATCCAGGGGTCATTGACCAAAGGTACCCACTAGCCTTCAGCAAAATTGTCTCCTTCATTATCTGTGTCGTACCAATCATCAGTCACTTCTGGGCAAGGCTTTCCCTGGTGACCGAGGTAAATTTCCAGCCCTATCTTGGTCAAGGAAGTGTCCTCAAAGAATCCCCCAGTCCATTGACTGATCCGATGGAATGGCATGCAGCTGTGAACCATCCTACAGCAATGAGTGCAGAAGAGCGGCTCACCCATACAGCCGTGACATCTGTAGACTCCGTCCTTTGGGCAGACAGAGCAAGTCCTGTTGGATGGTGGACCCTCTCGCCAAAGGAGCAAGTCCAAGTAGTCCTTGGTCTTGTACTGCCACTCACGTAGATAGTCATTTTGACTCTTGATACTCAGTGTCAGAAAATGAGACCAGTTGAATGAATGATGAGCTTGCCATTGACTTGCAAAGTCTACAAGGCTCCAAGTTGATTACTCCGAGATCATGGTGCTCATAGTCACCCTCGGCGTGATGTCCTCTGGTGGATCCTTGCTTGCTAGGCGATTTCCTGGGTGATGAATTAACGGAAGATGTTTTATTGTAATGTTTAGCTTTGACAAATTGTCCTGTATCTCCTCAAGAAGTTCTTTTGTGCTCCCATCTAACCAACAAGGATGTCTTCGGCAGACTCCAGGCCTTTGGCTTTGACTTGACCATGTAACACAGATGTGCTGTTGTTGTGTGGATGAGTTGTTTTAAACAATATGCTTAGACTATTGGACGGTTTGGTGCTTACATGTGACTGTCAGATGCAATGCATCCGTTGTAATAGTCACTTTGATCTCTTTGCATCATCAGGAGTGATACCAACGGCACAATTAATAAGTATATGATCACCGATATGTCTAGAGCACTTTATGACCTCTGTTTCTACTCTGTAGACCCACACATGCATCTACACTGCTCGATAAGTCTTGTAGCAATGGTGCTCTTACTATTCGGCACAATCTAACCCTTACATGCACTTATGACATCGGGTATGTCACTCATTACTCACAGGACACATCTGCATTTTTTTTGGCTCATTCCATCCACCGTATCAATGGTCTCCTCTTTTCAGGTCCTTTTCTCCTACATACCTGCTGTGACATGGCTTGGACAAAGAGGAGTACAGGTGTTCAGCCTCAGTTGAATGACTGAGAGACCACCGCTCTGCAGTCCCATATTGAGGATTGGGAGAAGGCAAGTGGGAAGGAACGACAACTGATATTCAAAGCAGCCACCAGGGAGGCCAAGGTCTTGGCTCCAAAGATGGACAAAGAGCTGTTGAAGGAAAGGAAATATGTAAGTGTTTAGTCTTTGACACCGAGTCATGCTGCATTTCAGTCACCCTGGACAGACATACCGACAGTGGTTCCACAATCACAAGAAGGTCCAGACCAATTTCAAAGCACCCACTAAGCCAAAAAAGAAATGGACGGCACGGCGAGTCATTGAGGAAGAGCGCAAGGCCGAGATTCTTCAGCAAATTCGGGAAGAAATTGAGGAAGAGACTGGAGAGAAGCCTGCTCACAAGGAAGTACTGAGGAGGTATCAGCCAACCATGACAGCAATCATGCACCGGCTGGACAAAAAGGAGTTGCAGGAAGCTGAGGCAAAGGCTGATAAGTGGATGAATCAAGCCCCTGATGCCACTGTCCAGGCCAAGACAGCTAGGAAGAAGGGTGAAAAAATGGTCAAGAACTTCGCCAAAGAAATGTTTACTCAGGCCGGTATGAGAGTCTTTGTTTTGGGTTCCTGGAAGGATGAGAAGGGGGGGCTGCTTACATCTGGGTGAGTTCTTCCAGTCACTCGTCGGTCGGTCGGTCATTGTGCTTACTTTGGTTGTTGCAGGTTTGACTTCAATGAGCAGCTTGGTAAGGGATCCAGCTTCATGAAAGACAAGGACTGGCAGGCCATCCTACCAGTATGGGAAGATTTCATTGGCGATGCATTTGGTGAGTCTCTCCAGTCCTTTCAGAAAGACTTGTATTCAATCCATGTCTCCAAGACCATGATCAAGACCAGGATGCCACACTGCTTGGAGGCACTCGGTGGGTCCCAAAACCATACCATGAATTCAAGCTGGACCATTTGGGTTCGCCGATGTTGCCCGAGATGGGCGATTTATCCCTCAAGACCAAGAAGGCAATGATTCAGGTCATTCCTTACCATTCATTACAGTAAGCCAGATGACCGATGTGGGTATCACAACCTGGCAGGCACATATAAGAAAGTGCTCAGCCAGTATAAGTGAGTCTCAGCTCTGCCTAGCTGCTATACTCGCAGAATGCAAGAACAGTTCGACCCTAAAGGAGAAGCAAAGGAAAGCAAGGATCCACTGGAATGATGCTGAACAACCCTGGTGAATGGCGGTGAAAGCACGAGAAAGCGTGCACGGGAAAGCGAAGTGCGAAAGTGCGCGAAGTGCGGGAAGGTAGTGCAAGTGGTGCACAAGTGTAGAAGACGGATACTGAGACTGATAAGAGGAAAAGCGCGGATCTAGATGGATACTGAAGGTGCCACTAGCTATAGACTGATGCTAGGGCCTCAAAACAATGATGGACACATGCATTGCATGGAACTAACTGGTGATAGATACTGAGTGGTAGTAAGATGGTGGTATGAAGCTAAGGTGGAATAGTGGGGTGTAAAACGAACATGAGTGTATGTAAGTTCTACCTAAGCGCTCTCCCAGGGCTCAGAGCCGAATAGGGAGCGCTCTAAGTATGTAAATGAGGTAAGGTGATGTAAAGTAAGGGTGCATAACGAAATGGGAAGTGTAATATGCTAAATATGGTCAGATAACGAAAAGGGACATACCGAGGGACTGGTTGGACGATGGATGGATGCTTCTGGATGCTGTGCGACATAGTGTGCTTAAGCGTGAGAAAGCACGCAAGGCGCGCACGCAGGGAATACTGCGCGTTGTGCGGGAAAGTGTCGCGCCTATGGCGCGTTCCACGGGAAAGTGGTGCGCTCTATAGGGAATGACTAGAGGGTGATGGTGTGAGTTGTGCCGTGAAGGCCAGTCATCAGAATTCGTAATATGAGCCCATATGAGCCCACAGAAATGCGAGTCTCTACACCGATACCCATTTTATCATCTGACGCTGGCTGGAACAGGAACATGTTGTGGAAAGCCCAAGGTCCCAGTGCCCTGGAGCAACATCATCAAGGGGCAGTCCAGATTTATCTCCAGCACATACCTACCTGATGATACCAAGATCTTGGAGCCATCCAAAATGCTCCGCACTGATGCCAATGCAATCTTGGACTTTTGGTGGGACCGACAGGAAACCCAGGTTGGACCAACCTTCAGATTCAAAGCCTGGATGGATGAAAAGGGCAGAATGTGTTCTCCTGTTGCCGAGGATGAATCTGATGGTGATGCCGATGATGAGAGTACCAGTGCAAGGCCGACAAGAAAGCCATTGGCGACCACAACATCGTCACTAACCTCAATTCCCAAAGGGCAGCTGAGTTCCACCAAGTGACCCTACATCAGTTCGACCAAGGAAGAATGTGACAAGACCGATGCAGAGGCATCTCCACCAGCAGTCCAACAATGCCTGCACGGCTGCGCAAATGCTGAAGACACCGACCGGTCTGATGACCTACCGGTGCCAAAGAGCTTTGGAAAGTGTGCCAGAGGTCATAAAGACCAACCATCGGTCTCCCATCACCGAACGCCTCCTACAGCAAAGACCATTATTTCTGTACCTCATGTAACTGAGGAATCAGATCAGTCAACTGAAGCCAGCCGTGTTGCCTGCTCCTTCGGCCCAAGGTCAACTCGCCGGGGTATCAAAACTCACTGAGGTCTGGAACACCTTGGTGCATCGCCAATGATACAGCCACCAGCATTGACGTGGACAAGGGCTGCCAGAGATGCATCTCCTGTGGTGCAAGAGAGGCAGCCAAAGAATGTGCCCGCTACCAGAGATCGTGCGCCAAGGAAGGCCAAGTCGGCCAGATTTGCCCCCGGTGTTCCCTCTGATGCACCAGAAAAAGGCACCAGGAGCAATGCTGAGAATACACAAGTCACACGCACTCAGCAAAAGCCCAAGAGGTATACTGACTACATCTAATTCAGCGAACTTGGATCGGTGTGAAAGAGAAATAGCAACTAGGCTGGTTAGAAACTAGCGCTACTTATCCAAATAGGCGCAAGTGTATTATTCGACCCAAGAGGACTGCTATTGAAGCAACTCCCTTCTAATATGCAAGGGTAGCGATAGCACGAAGGACTGATAACCTATGGTGACCTAAGACCAAAAACTGATGAGTAGCGCTTATAGTGGTTAGCGACTAGCGACAAGTGAGTTCCAATAGAGAAATGTGCGTATAAGTGAGAAGCACTATGCAAGTTGTTTTATGTGATAGTGCTATGCGACGTCCGACTAGCAATAGCGAGAAGAAATCAAGGGGAGTGAAAGCGAGGAGTAAGATAAGACAGTGCAAGTGAAATGCCTGATAGCGACTAGATTATAGCTCGACTACCGATAATGATCCCGACGTTGCGAAAGTCAAACTTAAGAGGGAACTTTAGCGACGCACACTTAAAACAAGTCAAGCGACACACGATCAGAGAGATTGGCAAGAGCGGAATCGATTGCACCAAGACTAGGATATAGTGACTAAAGTGACTCCAACACCAGCAAAGGTCCGGGGAAGGGAAGTACTGTACTGTATGTGCGATGGGTCATTTTATCATACTGTGTAAAAGTTCGGGAATGCATAGGTGAGAACAGTAGCGATACTGGCGAGGGCACGATGTAGCAACAGGTAAGAAAACATGCTGCACTGCAGAACACGAGGATACATGTAATAAGACCTGCGACTGAATGAGTAGCGACATTTAAGGAAAAATAATGCACCAGCGGAGGTAGGTGGACATAGGCAGGACATGGGAGGACGGAATACCTAGGCGTCGGGCCGGGTAGTGCACTATGGGAGAAAAGCAGTTCCAAAGCAGATAGCTTGGGAGTTGAATAGCACTGATGACTAGCGCCTTACTCTTTTCCTCTATGCAAGGCAAAATATGCCTATGACACTCATACGCGCCCAGCACTGGTATGATTGTCACATCGGTCATCGGTCATCGGTCAACAGTCATAAGTACACATTTGTTATTGTTACATGTTACATACACTACACTACACTATACCGTGCATATGTCAATGTCAGCCGCCTGCTTTCTTCCTACCTAGCTCCAAGACAGTCAGTGGATCATCAATCTGCCTGAACATTTGCAGCATGTGTTGAATCTTGGCCATATCATTGGTGGCGGTAACATATTGGTTGCGGGGCGTTTTGATAATTAGTGATCAAGGCCTGGTTGGCATGGATGATCTCCGTGACAGCCTTGGTTTTATTATCTCCTTTACAATGGTGGTCAACATTATGACAGCAATGGGCAGGGAAGCCATTAACTTACTCAGGATGGCGCAAAGTCTGTCCAGCCGGTTGTCGGCTTGGTGCAACAATTCCTACCCAGCTTCAACCTGTGTTATTGTCAAGCCTTCGCTTGGTGCTGAAGAGGGTGCCAGTGATGCCTGAATATCTTGACTCCCAGGTGATTCTGAGTTGTTCACCCCTGCATGTAATAGTTAGCATCATCTGTGCCGTGTCAAAACGGCCGACCAACATGAGTTAACTGAGCCAGTAGTGGGCGCCGCAGTAAGATGACCTTCACAGTCACCATCTCCACCTAATTGGGCATCTCCCCAGCACATGTCAAAACCACCTGCAAATGAGTTGAAGCAACTGACACAAACCACCGATACTCACCTTGGTATCCTGTGGCCGAGGTTGCCGGTCGGTCATCCCAACACACGTCATACAGGTGGCCTACATCAGCTGTTGTCGACTGAGGGTCCTCATCCCAGCAAACATCATACGTAGCGGCAGCCGGTGGTGTGGCTGCTTCTACAGTGATTGCAGGGACCGAGCCTACCTGTTGATGAGCTCGGCTCATCCCAACAAAGGGCATATGGACCTGCAGCTGGAGGAGTATCGGGGTCCCAACACATATTGTAATCTAATATACCTGTGAGCAATGACTCAAGCTATGCGACTGGCACAAGACTTACCTTGGCCACCATAGTCTGTGTTGGCTGATGATGCTTCGGCCGGTGCATTGACCGGTGCACTGACTGGTGCATTGACGGTGGGCGCTGGATCGCTTTCAACATCCCAGCACATCTCAAACGCTAGAATAATGATGTATTAGTACATGTCCATGAGATTGAGAATAGAAGATGACATGAACTTACTTTGACCGCTGTACTGGGGTTCGGCCGATGATGAGGCAGTCGGTGTTTTCCACCAATGTCTCAGGCGCAGCTTCAGTGCTCCAGCACATATCAAAAACTAAAATTGTCAAATATTAATAAATGTCGAGTCAATATCATAAGGCACTTACCTTCTTTGCCAAAATGTTTTTGCAAGTGCATCGGCGGTGTCCTTCCTGACTGGCATGGTTGATGGTGTGACTTTCATCCTGTTGTTGTTGGGTGCATGAGTTGGTGGCAAACGGTTTGGCCGAAATGAGTATTTGAACCCAACAGGAAGGTTTTCCTGTGGAAATGATCAAGTTGGGCCTAACTTTGGTGGCACCCACTGGTCCCACGTGAGAAAGAAATTGCTGTTGGTTTTGATCCGCTCGTCCTGTAGTCTCCTAGCTTTGTCAGTGATATTTTCACGAGAATCCATGTACTTGCAATGGTTGTAGTTGGGAGTATATATACAACAATGGATGACTAGACCACCCAGGCCACAACTTCGGCGAAACCCGGCGGTGTCAATTGTTGTGTCCACATTTCATTTCGGCTAATCATTTCGGCTAATCACGGCGGTGGCACAACTTCAATTTGCATTGACTGTTGCTAAGTCCACATCAAAGGCCACAGCTAGTGTTCCCTATATAACTGTGTCGACATCCCACATCATCATCATCATCATCAGCATCATCATCATCATCATCATCATCATCTCATCATCATCATCATCATCATCATCATCATCATCATCATCATCATCATCATCATCATCATCATTGTCACCACCTCCACCACCACCATCATAATCATCATGTCTGCCCAACAATCCAACAATGCCTTGTCGGTCGCCACAAATCATTGCATTCACACCTCAACCGGATCAAACTGTTTCAATCAGATGGCCGGGTGGTGGTTGACTGGGTACATGAAGTTGCCAAGCTAGTAGTGAGTCGTTCTTTCTTTCTTTCTTTCTTTGCAAGATACTCACCTCTCTCAAGTCAAAAGCACTCCAGCAACACGGCAGGAATGCGTCGGTTGTTCCGCCGTTGCTGCTCTCTGCAGCCGCTGAGGTTCGGGCGACAATGAACATCGGTCAGGTCCCCCAATGGGAACGTGTGCGGATGGATTATTCCCACATGGAATCACACCCCTTCTTCCCCAAGACACAAGGGCTTGGTGAGTCTTCCTCTTTCTCAATGCACCATTTTTGTTAACATTGTGATAGCTGCACCTGCACTGGCGCCAGTGCCAACCCCAGTCCCAGTCCCAGTCCCAGTCCCAGTCCCAGTCCCAGTCCCAGTCCCAGTCCCACCCCCAGCTCCCAAGGTGATGTCGGTCCCACCGATCGACTCACTTCCTGTCGAGGCTGCCAAGCTGACGGCTGATAAGGGGAAGCAGCCGGTTCGGGGGACTCGGCGAGCCAGGGAGGATGAGTCGGGTGAGTTGGGCAACGTCTCATGCAAGAAGCATAGGATCGTGTCGAAGGCCATCATCTCTGACATCAAAGATGATGATGGCCAGCTGGGCGGGACCATCATCGTGGTAAAGGTGCGCCTCTAATTCATTTTTTTTCTACTCTATCACTCACAGCATCTTAGCCATCTAAGGTGGCGGTGCCTCAGACTCCAGCCCCAGCCAAGAAGGTGAAGCAGGTGAGATTCACCTCGTCCCCTCGGTCATCACCACTCAGAGATGTCCAGGCTGACACCAAGGAGCACATTGACTGACCGATGTGGGTATCACAACCTGGCAGGCACATATAAGAAAAGTGCTCAGCCAGTATAAGTGAGTCTCAGCTCTGCCTAGCTGCTATACTCACAGAATGCAAGAACGTTCGACCCTAAAGGGGAAGCAAGGAAAGCAAGGATCCACGGAATGATGCTGAACAACCCTGGTGAATGGCGGTGAAAGCACGAGAAAGCGTGCACGGGAAAGCGAAGTGCGAAAGTGCGCGAAGCGCGGGAAGGTAGTGCAAGTGGTGCACAAGTGTAGACGACGGATACTGAGACTGATAAGAGGAAAAGCGCGGATCTAGACGGATACTGACAGTGCCACTAGCTATAGACTGATGCTAGGGCCTCAAGATGATGATGGATACATGCATTGCATGGAACTAACTGGTGATAGATACTGAGTGGTAGGAAGGTGGTGGTAGGAAGCTAAGGTGGAATAGTTGGGGTCTAAAATGAACATCAGAGTATGTAAGTTCTACCTAAGCACTCTCCCAGGGCTCAGAGCCGAATAGGGAGCGCTCTAAGTATGTAAATGAGGTAAGGTGATGTAAAGTAAGGGTGCATAACGAAATGGGAAGTGTAATATGCTAAATATGGTCAGATAACGAAAAGGGACATACCGAGGGACTGGTTGGACGATGGATGGATGCTCCTGGATGCTGTGCGACATAGTGTGCTTAAGCGCGAGAAAGCGCGCAAGGCGCGCACGCGGAATACTGCGCGTTGTGCGGGAAAGTGTCGCGCCTATGGCGCGTTCCACGGGAAAGTGGTGCGCTCTATAGGGAAGTCATAGTGGATGATGGTGCGAGTTGTGCCATGAAGGCCAGTTGTCAGAATTCGTAAAATGAGCCCATATGTGCCTGCAGAAACGCAAGTCTCTACACCGAGTCTATCATGGGCAAGTATATTTGTAAGACCGATCCATTGACAGAGCAGTGTCCATGACACATCTATATGCTTTGGGTGTCAGCCTATTTGTATATATCGGTACCACTGCCCACTCGGCCAACCTGTTCATATCGGGCACATATTTCATACACTACCTACCACACAATACCTACCAAATGCAATAGGAAAGTGTACACTTATCTACTATACCACACTATGGGCCCACTGTTGGTATCACATACACACTTGACATAGGGGTGTCGGCCCATCTGTATATATCAGTACCACTGCCCACTCGGCTGACCTGTTCATATCGGTGTAGAGACTCGCATTTCTCCAGGCTCATATGGGCCAAATTCACGCTTTTTCATGACGCCCTCGATATCCATGCAACGCGCCTTCTAAATCCGAAACGCGCCTTGAACGCGACAAACGCGCTAGCGCGTTTCTACCCATACACACTTTTGCATATCAAGTATCCACATTCCTGCAGTCGTGCATCCGTAATAACGCGCTGTGTCGCATTTCATCTTCATCGCGTTTCGCGTTTCGTTGTGTTTCGTCTTGGTCGTGTTTCGTGTTTCGTTGTGTTTCGTCTTGGTCGTGTTTCGTCGTGTTCTGTCATGTTTCGCCTTTGTCGCATTTCACGCTGTCGCGTTTTTCGCGTTGCGCCTCACCTTCTCTCATCCTCGCATTGACGAACCCTCACTACTGCCTGCTCGCACCTTCCCGGTTACGCACATATGCGCCTTGGCGCGTACCAGCGCGTTTGAGCGCGTTACATCAGACTTCATCGCACTTCCCTAGGATCCGTCGCCCGTCCTCCACATGTCCTGTCCTAGTCCTCCAAGGTCCATTGGTGCGTGCTCTTTTCACTAGAACTCATATGGTGTCACACAGGCACTTGTACTTATCACTATGTTACATTATGGACCCTGACTTACCTCATCACCTACCTTAGTGCTCCCTACTCGGTTCCGAGGCCTGGGAACTCGCTTAGCATACTTACATGTCAGCATGTTCATTTTTCTGTTACTCACTCCCGCTCGACTACTATCAAAAGTGTATAGTTCAAGTTTCTAGCAGAATACACTTGTTTCCCTCTAATTGGCGCTTTGACACCTTTAAGTGTCTATTTCTACCTCTATCAAAGCCCTGATTCTCCCATTTGATTGTCGCCTCTACTCGAAGCACTCTGCTGTGATCGCACGAAGAGCGCCTTGGTATTGAAGCGCGCTTTTCTGCACTTTCCACCTTATCAGCATGTTTAGGCGCTTTTAGCTAGTGCTCTTCGCTTTTGGGTACATTACTTGCCTTAGTGTCCCATCCAGGCTTGGAGACCGAACTGCTGGTTATAGATCCCCCTCACCTTTCACTAGAGGAATCTTTCTCAGTCGCAATCCCCTTGGGACGACTTTCCACTCGTATCCAGAGGAGCACTTGAGAGCCCACTTCCCACTCTTCCCCCTAGCACGCAGCTATCATTCCTCGCCCTCATCGGGCATATATTTCATACACTACCTACCACACAATACCTACCAAATGCAATAGGAAAGTGTACACTTATCTACTATACTACATACTATAGGCCCACTGTTGGTATCACATACATACTTGGCATGGGCCCACATTGGCTGGCATGTGTAGAACATGGATATTTCAACATTAGTTGTATGTATTTATCAAGGGTAAAGTGACTGCAGTATGTGGTAACCCTTGTCTGATACTAGTCTGCACATTCCCGTGCTAGGTGCGCACATTCCTGCAGTGCTATTCATGTTCCTGCACCTTATCCTGCACTATTCCTGTGGTTATAGTGCTATCAGAACAAAACACCACTGAGTAATACTAGCTAAGATGACATGAAGTCCTGTAAAAAAAGTTTGCGTATACTGTCAACATCAATAGCTAAGTATGAATCAGCAATGGAGATGTCACACGTGAAATGCTTGATAACGGCTATGACTTCATTGTCCTGCAAACCCTCTTTCAGCAGCTGTGTGATAGCCCTCTGTCAGTGCAAAGGAATAGGATCAACAGAGTGAGTAATGGAGTATGATGTGCGCTCCTGCAAAGTGTTCACTGCAATGCCAAAGGTCGCATTGAGGTTGCAGATATCCAAGCCCATCTGCTGGAAAGCTTGAGGGACAGTGACATGCGAGGATTTCACAGACTTTCCAAAGACAGATGGTTCCTTTGTAGACCCAGAAGGACAAGTCAGCAATCTTGTGCTGTTGTCACCCTCAGCTTTGTGTTTTCCAAAAGCCTTTGATTCAGGTTTGTCACCTTCAGCTTTGCATTTTCCCAAACCCTTTGATGCAGGTTTGGATAGAGAGAACATGCTGGTAGATGTGCTTGGTGTGGAGGGGCAAAAGTAGGTTGCTGTGCTGCATCAAAGGGGGCAGGTGGGGGAGGGGGTGGCATCACAATGTTTGATCTCCCAGAGGCATTCTCAAGGTCATTAAGCACACACTCCTGCTCCAGCATGTTGACATCATAGAAGCTTGGTTGTTGGGGAGCTGCGCTGCTAGAAGAAATTGAGGCCATTGAGAGGGTGCTGAGCTGCAGAAGGGGTGAAAAGTGGTCTGGCCAACAGCCTTTGAAGGCAATATTTCCACCAAAGGTTCATGCAATGGCCAGCTTTTATTCCTGTAAGGCTTTGCAGTGGACATACGATGCGAAGTGTCAGTATTAAAATGATTGAAATGAAGTGCAGGACTCACTCTAATGATATCGGCCTAAATCCCCTCAGATTTGAATGTAATATCAGCACCACATTCTGCACTCCATGAACACCAGAGTAGTGCGCAACTCTGTCAATGACAGTGTACACAGTGCAGAGCTGGACACTTGTTAGTATGCAATATATTTCATGGCAATAAGAGACATACATGAGTCCATTTGGTTGAACAGGCATCACCTGTCCCCACCACACCAGAAGTAGTGATTGGGGCAAGATGTGCTGCAACTTGGTTCCAAAATGTTCTGTCGAAGTTGAGTCCATCACCTCCCTTTGCGTGATTCTCCTTGATATATGCAATAAACTCCTTTTCATCCTCCAGTGACCAATGACACCTAGATTCCCCCTCCTGGCTCTGACTCTCAAGTTGCAGACTTTTTCTTCCTGGGCACAATCACACATTTGCCCTTAGAGTGACGAGAGAGAGAGGAAGATGATGATCATGTAGAAGGCATGTTAGATGATATCTATTATTGGTGGGTCACACGTGTCACACAGACACCAACAATGACAAAGCAAATACATTTTGAAATTTGGATTGTTAATTGCGCTCAAATTTCGTGGCTGAACAGACCCATAGATTTACAAGATTGCAGTGGGCAGGTTTAATAGGAAGGTGATACATTACAGGACAGAGTTGATGTATTATGGTCTATGTGATACATTGCACCAGCAGGACAGGCAGCAGGAAAGGTGAGGGAGGTGATACATTGTGGTCTATGGACCACAGGCTCTGATATAACATCAGCCTTCTACAATGTTAGATATTGATATATTATACCTACAGGGTATTGTGGAATGGTTCGGACTTCAACATCTAGGACTTCAAATCCCACGGAAAGTCAACCAGTGTGCAGAATCAGGATTAATTTCAAATTATGACATGTACAAAAATTCTGTTATCCTCCATTTAGTCTTTAGATATACATAATTGTAGAGCTGACCAAGCTCGCTTCATGTGCTGAGGTCGATTACGTCTGCAAGTATGTGGGCAGTCATTTCCGGGTGTCGGGGGACGACACGGCAAGGAAGAGATTCCGGATGTCTGAAGTTTATCGCATCGATTAGCTCACGGTACTCCCTTGGATGATGGTATGGAACAAGATACTTACGAAATTAGTCCAGTGGACCATTGGAAGATAGGGTCTACTTCTTTGCCTTCGTTGTCCAATGGTCTCATAAAACGGAAAGTTGCTAGCAGAGACACTATAGAAATCCACAGGGAAGCATCGGCGAAGTACTTTCCAACACATACTCGGCGCCCGAAGCCGAAAGCGAAGTCGACAGTGTCGTTATTCAATTGTCCATTGGCTATAAAAAACCTCTCTGGTTCGAAGTCATCAGGGTTCGGGTATTTTACTTCGTCTTTTGATATGGCCCTGTACCAGTCGCCTTAACTCAATTCAAGACTAGCAAGTACTATGACTTACCAGATATTTGCCATAACAATTGCGCCTACAGGATGGTTAGCAGCGAAAGTGATGCGATACAGAAAATACCAGACCTTTGGGGATGTAATGACCATTGTACACGTCGCTCTCCGCAGTGTAATGCGGCAAACCTGATTTGTCACATGGAAGTGTAAGATCCTGACACACGATGGATGAGATCAACCCACCGAGAGGGAACACCGGATGCCATCTAAGCGTCTCGCGCAAGACTGCTTCCACATACGGCAACGAAGGCCGGTCTTCAAAGGTAGGAAGTTGGTCGGTGCCTATAACTGTCTCAATCTCCTCTTGTGCACGTTTCTGTACATCTGGATAGAGCATCATTGCAAGAATAAAGACACCTAGGGTCGACGCAGTCTGAATATCCGTCAGTTCGTGGGAAACACGTTAATGTAGATAAGCGGGACTGACCGTTTCAACTCCAGCTAGATACGAGCATGTGTTAGTAGTGTCACTCGAAAATAAATCTGGTCATACCAATGAATGCTGTGGCAGAAGTCGACTTCAACGCAAGCTCGAATTCGCCCACATTACTACCGGATGTGTCCAACCGCTTAAAAGACTCCGAGATCATACACTGGTTCGAAGTTGCAGTCATCTACGCTTCATGTTGATAGGATTCATTCTTATTCAGGGCATAAATGCTTACTGCGCGTTCTCGTGCATAGTTGAACGGGATGTTGACCATAGCGGCAGCATTCTTTTGTGATTGGATAGCGAGTCTTTTAAATCTCGCTCCAGGAAACCAAGAAGGCAATTTCAGCACTATGTCAAGTCAGAGATAACTTTCTGGACACTTAGACTGATTAAAACTTACAAAACGGAAATGTCTCCAGGATAGCTGAAGTCTGGGGGCTTGCCATCTCCAAAAAGACCTTGATCGCCTTTTCAGCGGTAAGTAAAAGCGGGTCATTATTCGTCTTGGCCTCGTAATCGTATACAGTAGACATGATGACAGAAGAGGCGAAACTGGGATTACCACGTTCTTATCATTAAGCTTGCCGAAGGATAAACTATCACTCACAGTTCGATGTGGTGCTGGTAGTGCTCGGGGGCTTCTATGATGCCCTGCAACAGCTGACGAGCTTTGCGAAGTTGAATAGGTAAGTAATCTTTTGCCGCTTCAGGTCGGAATGATTGATGGAAAATTCGCCGATGCAATCTCCATTCGTCAGAATACCTTAACATAGAACTGTTAAATTCGGATCCGATTCTATGAAAGTGTCAGATGTATATATAGCATGTTGGATGTTGGTTCTCTTACGCCTTTGTGCTAGAAAGCGGTGGCCTGTCAGAATAAATACTAGAGCGATGCTCCAACAGTGCTTTGGCGACTTCCTGCGATTGTAGAACAATAATTTGGCGTCCGAACAGTTTACAATAGATGACGTTCCCTTAAAAAGTAAGGAGGTTTGTTTCCTGGAAATCGATGGACTCTACCGTGTGTCGATGCCCACTGTGTGAAGCTAACCCATGGCTGACTGCCGTTGAGGTCGAGCAGGTTACCTAGCACAGGCAAGCCCTTGGGGCCAGGGGGAAAGGAAAGATTGGACGAACTTCTTCGTCGAACTCGGTGAACAGCTAGAGAGAGGCATATGATAGTAGAAAAAAAGATGATGGAAGAGGCGAACATCTCGAGCGATGATAAATATTCGCGCCTCACAAGCCTCAGCTTATATATCTTCGAAGCATCGAACCATCCTATCTGAGTCTAGAAAGAAATTTGCTGCCACAATCATGTTAATACCATGCCCTCCTGGGACAAGCAATCAAGTGCCCAGATCCTAGTATCATGACGAATTTCACCTGCAAAAATGGATGAAGGTAAGGCTAGGTCAAGTCTCACAATTGGGAGCATTCCCGATCTGTGTATTTTATGTGGGCACAGCATAGTACATACACATGCTTGAATTAAGATAGATACGTCAGCGACAATGACACCTGTCTCCCACGAGACGTCCCTGCAAGTCCCTGCAGTGGTTCTGCTGTCAGGCTGAGCCTTGGCTTGACACTTCAAAGGGACGAACTACCGTGACTACTTACGATGTCCAACTTGAACACAAATAGCAGATGAAACCCGAAATTATGGCAAAATGCGTGTGTGGTGAAAAGGCGGTGCAGACTTGGAAACTTGACAGTGAACAAGCCTGTCATAATATCGGTTACTACTCATTGATCTGGCCGAATGACTCGGAGTGGTAACCGATAATAGGAAGACGATACATTCGGTCACGCCAAATGATAATATGAGGTTGAATGAATCGAGTAATGAGACCTGCTGCGCTTCATTTCATATCTCAGATCTCAGTACTCAGTAGTTAGCCGGCGCAACTAAGCTTTACCATCAGGTAGCACTGGAGTGACCTGTTAGCATTCCGAAATAGATCGGCTCTACCATTCAACTGACGTTATTTAGTAAAGGTTGGACCCCGCAGACTGTGTTGGAGAAAGGTACGAATCGTTTTTCATATGTTGTCGTCCTAATTACACATTTTCGTTGTCCTACTCGTCGAGCTCGCGGTCTTTGCAAACAGCATCCTCTGCCTTTTTTCCCAACCCTTGTGCCCATGAATACCGCCACCTCTCTGCATCCTGCCAATTCCGCGCCCGCTCTTTCAACCTCCAGCCTGGCTGCCTAGCTATGCCGTCGCCGCCGGTTGATTTTTTCGCAACAGCGCATCACGACCGGGCGGCACGCCCGCGTCAGGATCTAGCGCTCTCCTTCGCGCTCGTCGTTGACATCTCCCTCGTTGTCTCTCCCCACCAGTTATTACCCCTACCTGGCGGCAGGCGCCTTCGTATTTTTTCTTCAATGATCTCCACTGCATCCTGGATTTTTCTCTATCTTGCCATCCCACCTCGTGCATACTTCCCTACGGTCTACATATATATCTCTGTCAAATTTTTGTAGTGATAATTTATATATTGCATCCTCATCTGTGCTCACTCAGTAAACCAAAGACATGAAAATTTAAGTTGATTCATAATTAAAATTTCATGATATGTAAAGAACAAAATACTGTCAAGGAGAGGCTACACCGTGACTACACACCCAAGTTCTGTATGGGAGAGGGTGGACAGTGGACACGAGGATGGGGAAGCCAAATTGGTGTATGGGGAAGGTGGGGCTGGGAGCAGAATTCGGAGCAGTGGCAGTCTCTGTTGTTGGTATCAGAGCTGGCAGCGCTGTGGGAGTCGAAGTCGGGGATATCGACATCGAGTATTGGTCGGGTAGCTCGGCAATGGGCGTTCAAGTGAGTGGCGCTAACATAGCAGGACAGCGCAGAGTAGGTATGCGCGAGGGCGGTGAACTTCGACTTAAGAATGACCAGGAAATATGCTTACCGAGCGGTGGTTGAACGTTGAGGCCTGAGGCCTATGGGTCATTACCACTGATGTAATTGATGCGTTCAGGGACTTGTGTTTCCCACCCTATTCGGAGCTGATCTACTTCAGAATGATAACAGGGCACTACACACTCCACTGAAGTCCCGCATCAGTGCAAAGTCGTTGAAAGGTAAATGAAAAGAAAAGGAAACTTGGTAAGTGTCGGCCGAGCTTGCGGAAATGGCTCAGCGAGCCACCACTAGCTAGTCTGCCTCACTTGGAAGTTGGCTGACAGCCACTAGCAGTAACATTGATGAAGATTCTCACGCTTCACATGGATGTAATGGACACGACTTGTCCTCATGCCAGTCGTGTGACGCACTGTGGACTTTCGATTCGAGGCATTTTAGCCAACTACTACTTAATAGTCTCTGGTCTCATCGTATGATAGACAACCAAGCTCCCCGCTTTGTGCCATTCGAAGTAAGCGCCATGCACGTCAACCAGCTTCCAACGACATTACTAGATGATGCGACCGAACGTCCAGCAT